CTACTGAGTTTTTGTTTCTTCTTTGGATAACCTTGTTTGCATTGCACTCAAAAGAAGCACAATTTACATTTTTAACATGTATTTGTATTATTTTTAAATATAATGCTTTTTTATTTAACTAGCTGATTTTATAATAATAAATGTCCATATTTTTAAACAGTGCTACTTATTTTCTTTTCACCATTTATACAAATGAACATTACAAAGTTTGATATCTTCCAAACTTTATAGCAAATGGCTGTCATAGTCTAGTGAAAGTGTTCCAGTTACTATAATCTCCACTTTTAATCTTCAACATTTATTTATCATTAGTTACAATTTATATTTCAAATCCATATGTGGATTTATCATTTTCAGGAAGTAATTTTTAGGAACAGTTTATTTTCAAGCCAAAATAATTTGTTGTCTGCTTTCTTTGGTGGTATGTTTTTTAAGTTGCTTTTATTTTCAAAGTAAAGGTGTACTGCTCTTGGTCTTTATCTTGGATTTTTTTTATATTATTTGATATAAAAACTTTAAATTATAATTGCCAACAGTCACCAATGAAATTCCATTTTCTCCTTCCCAAAGAAATCTTACTAAACTGATATTCAGGGTAGGACAATGGAAATGATAATTATATGTACAGTTTAACGTTATTACTATTTAAGGATCAATGCAGAATCTTGCTCACCCTGTAATTATCATCTGAATGGAACCTAGACTACATTATCGAAGTACAGATAAAGTATTAAATTTTTAATATGCTCTTTATACATCTTCAAAGTATTCCACGTTATTTTATAGAATAAATTTTTCTTACAGCTTGTGTAGTTTTTTCATTTTATGGAAAGTGTACTTGGAACATGAAATCAACTAATCAAGTAATACCAGTAAAGTTGCAGTGTAAACTTGAATCCCCTCATTGCTGGTAAGAGAATCTTGTGTTAAGATTCTTTTGCAGTAGTAGAACCAAACATTAAATTGGTCTGGCCTTCCTTAAGTTAGAGTCGTTTTTCTCTTTTTTGACTAAAATACAAAAGGTACTTTTTAATTCCTGAATACTTAGGTAATTTCTTCCTTATCGGCTCCATGGCATTTTGGAAATTTTCAGAAAACTGATGCTGAATAATGAGATATTTGAAACCAACTTCTATAAAGTTTCTACCAAATACTTCCCTTTTCATTATCTCGGAATGTACTCTTATTTCTGATACATGTGTTTCTTTAAAAAATTAACAAAGTTTTCCTAAATACCCATCATGACCTAGTTTCATCCTCCATTTTTCCATTGTGACAGAAGTTTCTTTTTAAACCCTTTTGGTAATTGTTCCTATTAACATGTTCACCTTTTAATAACCTGAGTCCAAATCAGTGAATCTCAAATGTTACTGTATTCATAAGCATTATGTTAGGTAACTTGCTCACAATATAGATTCCGGGACTCACTTTAAGAACTAGTGAATTCATTCTATGGGGGATTCTTATGCAGGTGGTCTTTGAATCAAATGGAGAAATAATTATCTACCACATAGATTCCCACTGTCTAAATCAGGGGGCCCCAACCTCCAAGCTCTTGACCAGTACCAGTCCTCACCTCACCTTGTTAAGAACCCAGCCACCAGCAAAGCTTGCCTGAGCACTGTCTCCTGTCCCTCTTCCCCACTCTTAGGTGAAACTGGTCCATGGTGCCAAAAAGGTTGGGGACAGCTTATCTAAATTGTTCATGAAGATTGGTCTTTTTATTTTGTTTGAGTTATCGCCATCTCAGAACTATTTTCCAACTAATTGTGGACATCCTTAGTTTTTCTAAATTCGCTGATTGGAGAGCTGAAATTCTCTTGCTTCTTAATTTATCTTGCTCCCCTTCCCAAAACACACATTTGTAGTTCAGTTTGTACATGCAGTATATGTATGCATAGTAATACATATTTCTAATATGCCTTGCCTAGTGATTTTTAAATGTGCCTTTTTCCCACTGAGGAAATAATTGTATTTCTTTCTTTTTTATTTTTAATATTTCCTGGCAGTGTGGTACATTGTAGGTATCCAAATGTTTGCATTGATTGTTTACTGCTCTTATTTGGTTGCTGCTTACTCTGCTTACTCTTAATCCAGTCAGTCTGCTGAAGATGACAGGTTATCATGTTTATACCACTAAATCTCATATACTATTTCCCTTTGTTTTAATTATCAGTATTTCCTTGGTGCTATATTAATAATTCTCTATCATAATATACTGAACACTGGTCTTGAAGTCTTGACTTTTCCTGTTTTTAACAATTCCCATTCCCATATGGACTACATAGTTCAGCTCTTTTAATGAATTCTTCTAAAATTTCACATTGTGTTTTCACATACAGAAGTCCAAGTCATATACTTCAAACACAAAATGTGCAAGGACCCTTGCTCTTTAACATCTGTATATTAACCACATTACACCAGCATATACTTTTTTAAAGACCTGTTATTTATGGACTGGAGGAATACATAAGGTTGTATTACCTTTTGAAGGGGTTAGATGGTCAAAGAAGGAACATCAGTTATTTGTAATGTGAATTATCTGTATCTTTCGCCCTTTTAAAAAATTGGGTTGATTTCTTACTGTTGAATTTTGAGAGTCTTTGTACATTTTGGACACACGTCTTATGTAAGGTTAAGTGATTTGCAATATTTTCCAAGTTTTTTGTATCTTTTTCAGTGTTTTTAGGAGAGCACTTTCAAGTTGGGTAAAATTAAGTCTGTCAGTTTTTAATATAGTGAAACATTTTTAAAACCAAATTCAGAGATCTCTTTTCTTCTAGAAGTTTAAGAGTCTGAGGTACATTTTGGCTTATGATCACTTTGAATTAATTTCTGTATCTAGTACCAAGGTATGGTTTGCTTTTGCATTGTGGATGTCTGTCCAGTTGTTCCAGCAGTCTCTGAAAAATCACTATCCTCCATTGATTTGCCTTTTCATCTTTGTCAGTCAATTCACCATATTTTTTAGTCTATTTTAAGACACAATTCTGCCCTGGCTAGTGTGGCTCAGCGGATGGAACTCTGGGCTGCAAACCAAAGGGTCACTAGTTCAGTTCCCAGTCAGGGCACATGCCTGGGTTGCAGGCCAGGTCCCCAGTAGGGGGACGTGTGAGAGGCAACCACACATTGATGTTTCTTTCCCTCACTTCCTCCCTCCCTTCCCCCCTCTCTAAAAATAAGTAAAACTTAAAAATAAACAGAAAAACTCTTAAAAAAGACTCTTCTGTTCCGTTAATATGTCTATTAATGGATCTTTTTTGCAGTTGTTTTGGCTGTTTTAATTTTTCTTCCATATAAATTTTAGTAACGGCTTGATTTCTTTCCACTCCCCAACCCCACCTCAAAAAATAGGCTCTTGTGAATTTCACTGGCTTTACATTCAGTCTATACATCAGTTTGGAAGGCCTGACGACTCAGTCTTCTGACCAGTTTGTTTAGCTCATTTTTTCTCCCAGTTTTATAATTTTCAACATAAAATCTTACACAAATTTACATTCATACCTAAGTATTTGTTTTTATGCCATTTAAATCATATATAAAAGTAACTTGCCCAAGATGACACAATTATTAAATGACAAAGCTGGTTTGAAACCTTTATGAGCTTATAATTCTGGCTTTAATTATGATGTTAGTTTTATTAAATAGTTACGGTTACAGTGGTGGCAGAAAGGAAGTCCTAACTTATTTTAACAAGAAAAATCCCATTGTGCTTTTATAAAGGAATTGATTCCCCCCAAATTTATGCATTTTCTGAGCTTGAGTTTTCCTTATCTTTTCAAGTAATAAACCATGCTAACCTTAATTTACAAGCCTCTCTGAATACAGTAGTGAACAAGTGTTTTTTCAGGGTACTTTATTTTTTCAATTAGTTCGCATGCAACACTTTTATATTAATTTCAGGTGTTCAGCACATCAGGTATATATTCACATAGGTTACAAAGTGTTGCCACTGATAATTCAAGTGCCCCCTGGCACCACAGATAGCTATTACATTGTTTACTATATTCCCTATGCGTTACATCTTTGTGTCTTTTGTAATTACCAATTAGTAGTTCTTACCTTTTTTTTCACTCTGCCCCCCAACACCCCTTCTGGCATCCATCAATCTGTTCTCTGTATAAGTCTGTTTCAGTTTTTTTCTTTAGATTCCACATATGGTACTTGTCTTTGGCCTATCTCACTTAGCACAGTACCCTCATTTTTTTTTTTTTAACAGCTGAGTAATACTCCGTGTATGTGTGTACCACAGCTTTTTATCTTCTCTATTGACGGGCACTTGGGTTGCTCCCATATATATCTTGGCTATTGTAAATAATGCTGCAGTGAACATGAAGATGCATATATTCTTTTGAATTAGTGTTTTGAGTTTCTTTGGATATATAGCCAGAAATGGTATGCCTTATGCTGCAGGTCACTAGTATGAATTTTTACAAATTAAAAAATGTACCGTTAGCATTTGAATGCCTACTGTTCACCAGTGAAGACAAAAACCTGACTTGTTTTCTTGAATAACTCCTATCTGTGGGAGGGATAGTAAACAACGTAACATGCGTAAACAGCAGAACAAAAGTTTTTACTTAGCTTGACAACTACTTTGGTGGGAAACATGTAAAAGACTTGGAGAAGGGGAAATCATTTTAGAAGGCTTTCTTTGGGAGATAGTGAGTCATTAGGAAAAACCCCTTAAAACAGCCTAGGTATGGTAAATTCAGTATAGATATGGTAGAGTGTAGGCAAGTAAAATAGAGATCAAGCCTGGGTTCTATTTCCAAAGGTAAAGAATTCAAAAGCTAGACAAACAATATTAGGAGTGTTTTACATCAAGTTGTGGTTTTTGTTTGTGGGTTTCTTCTGGTTTCTTAACATTGGGTAAGTGGATAGTTTTACAAAATAAATGTTAATTTGTCATAATTTGCTCTTCAAGTCCTGAGTATTTTGTTTCAATAAGTTAAGAATATTGATGACCTACAACTTGATTTTTCTCATTTATTTTTCAGGTCGCTTTATGAATGATAGAAATAAAAGCAAATAAGATGGCTCTAGTAGCGCTTAGTTGTCTTGAACTTCATTTGAAACAATTTTGTTAGATTGTATTGTGACAGCTGATATATCAGCATGCATTTAAAAAAACATCTAAATTGGTGAATTTCTTATAGCCATTTTAATATTGAAGATGAAAGAAAATAAGCACCATTTTCGGCATATTATGCTTTTTTATTTCAAGAAAGGTAAAAAAGCAACTGAAACACAAAAAAAGATTTGTGCAGTGTATGGAGAAGGTGCTGTGACTGATCGAACATGTCAAAAGTGGTTTGCAAAGTTTCGTGCCGGAGATTTCTCTGTGGATGATGCACCACGGTCGGGTAGACCAGTTGAAGTTGATAGCAATCAAATCAAGACATTAATTGAGAATAATCAACATTATACCACACGGGAGATAGCCGACATACTTAAGATATCCAAATCAAGCGTGGAAAATCACTTGCACCAGCTTGGTTATGTTAATCGCTTTGATGTTTGGGTTCCGCGTAAGTTCAGCGAAAAAAACCTTCTTGACCGTATTTCTGCATGTGATTCTCTACTTAAACGTAATGAAGATGTTCCATTTTTAAAACAAATTGTGATGGGTGATGAAAAGTGGATACTTTACAATAATGTGGAACCAAAGAGATCACGGGGCAAGCGAAAAGAACCACTACCAACCACACCAAAGACTAGTCTTCATCCAAATAAGGTAATGTTGTATATATGGTGGGATTGGGAGGGAGTCCTCTATTATGAGCTTCTTCCAGAAAACCAAACAGTTAATTCCAATAAGTATTGCTCCCAATTAGACCAACTGAAAGCAGCACTTGATGAAAAGCGTCCAGAGTTAGTCAACACAAAACGCATAATCTTCCATCAGGATAACGCAAGACCACACGTTTCTTTGATGACCAGGCAAAAACTGTTACAGCTTGGCTGGGAAGTTCTGATTCATCCACCGTATTCATCAGACATTGCACCTTCAGGTTTCCATTTGTTTCGGTCTTTACAAAATTCTCTTAATGGAAAGAATTTCAATTCCTTGGAAGACTGCAAGTGTCACCTGGAAAAGTTCTTTGCTCAGAGAGATAAAAAGTTTTGGGAAGATGGAATTATGAAGTTGCCTGAAAGATGGCAGAAGGTAGTGGAACGAAAGGGTGAATACGTTATTTAAAAACCAAGCGAACGTTTTGGCCAGCCATTCTTTAAACCACTTTTCTTTTTTAGATACCAAGGTTATTATCAAGGTATCACTGTTTTCATAAAAATAAATTTGTAGCCTTGTCCAAAGTAAAATGTCCCAGCTTTTTTTTTCCTCAGAGGCTAATCTGTCTCAGTAGTGTAGTTGCATAGTGCACTACAACTTAACCTAGATTATTAAATCTGTATGTAAGAAAATGCTGGGTTTATCAGCTTTTAGGTTTATCTGATGTTATGGCATATAGACTAGTTTTCAGGTGCCTTAGGTTCTCAAATTCAAGTTTCTTTATAACCACTCTTTTCTTTTAAAACGGGTTATTAGTTATAGTGATACGAATAAGAATTCATGTCCTCACAGCACAATAATAGAAGATCCATATAGTATTCTTACTTTGGAAGTTTGCAAAAGTAGAACAGTGGGCCATAGGTTGACTTTGGGATAGTCAGCTTAGTAATTATCTCTCTGTAGATAGATCCAGTTTAAAATTGTGTAGGTGTTTGGCCAAGGCCAGCACTGTTGTCATTCTGAGTTAAATGCATGAGTTGTAAAATGTAATAGGCAATTTTATATAAAATAAGCCATGGCAATGAGATTTTGGGGGGCTTATTTGTATAGTAGTTAGCTACTGAAGCACAATTATTGGCTTTTTTAACTACTCAAACCAGGAAGTACCCTGCTGCTAGACTCAGTAACTAGATTACCTTCCTAGGAAAGCATGACAATTGAATGGAGTAATACTGGCATGAGCCCAATGAAGGGTGTTTACTTGGTATATAGGCCTGAATTCAAATAGTTTCTTCCTGATATAGATGATACTATTCTGGTTATGACAATTGTTCTCACAGGCCTTGATTCTGAATATTCCCTAGTAGCAACTCTTTTTAAAGAGCACTTACACATAGATTCTTTTATTTTTTAGCATAAAATACGGGCATTTTTATTTTACAGATTGAGAAATTTAAGTGACAGAATAGCAATTTTGTGGATATTTAAATCTACAGTAAAATGGGGGGGGGGGGCACGTTCTTGTATGTGTGTCCCTGTGAGTTAACAGTGGCTGATGACCAACAATCATTTTACTAAGTACAAAACTGGACAATGGCATCAATTAAATTGCCTATTTACTACATTGGTAGGTTTCTTTTTACACAACATCCCAGAAGGATATGATCTTTAAGTCCCAGCTGAGTGAACGAATGGAGCTTTAAATTTAATCTGATTCCAAAGCCTCTGCTTGCAGTATTTTAACTAAGGAATTTTTAAATATGCGTAAGTCTACATTTCAATGCTAAGTAAATACGTGTTCAATTACCCCCACCAATTTTGTCAAGCATATATTAATCAAACTTCAGTGATTACAAGACAAAAATTTAATGAAAATTGGTCAGTGGGTATGTAATAATCCAAGAGGCAAAATAGTTACATGGGGACTGTATTAGAAATTTAAAATAAATGCTGAAGTAAATGTTACATATTGTCATCATCTGATTCATCTTCTTCCTTCAAAGATTCCTGTTAGGAGAAAAAGTTTAAAATCATTTTTTAATATTAAAACAACCTAAACTTAATCAGCCACTTACTAAAAATTCTTTGAGGCTTTGCCCTGGCTGGTGTGGCTCAGTAGATTGACTGCCAGCCTGTAAACTGAAAGGTCGCTGGTTCAATTCCTGGCTGGTCCCCAGTAGGGGACACGTGAGAGGTAACAGATTCATGCATTTCTGGTACATTGCTATTTCTTTCCCTCTTTTTTCCCCTCCCTTCTTCTATCTCTAAAAGTAAAGAAATAAAATCTTAAAAGTTTTATAACTGAAAAAATGAACACTGGGTTAGAACAAGGTACCCAGATAAAAGTGTAATTAAATATATCTTGTCTAACAGTCAAATGACTATTTTTGATAGAATACTCACAATATGAAAACAAAAACCTTTGCCATTTTCACCAAAAAAAAAAAAAAATTAAAAAAAAAAAAAGGAATCAGGGCAACTTCACCCCATTGAGAATAACCTAGAAAATGTCTATCTTTAGTTTAACTCAATTCTTGTTATTTAATATAAATCATTAATATATATTTCCATGGAGTTTTCATGCAGTGGACTTACCTTAGCATATTTCTCCGCCTCTTCCCTTATATCTTTTGGGACAATTTCATGTCTTCCTTTAGTTACTAGAAATGAAGCCACATATTTAAATGAATTAAAAATGAAGACTATATTGTGATTAGTGATACCATGTGATATACACAATCCATAGTTATGGTTCATCTAAGATTAATGTTGTAAAGTTGTACTTTGAGTAATATCAGGTGCTTTGAATTCACTTTTGTGTTCTCTCCACACCCATAGAAATTAAACCTGCTCAAATTTAGCTCTTATGGAGACAATAAATTATGCTATGACTTATCCTGAGTATTCAATGACTAAGTTTTTAAAACTGACTTTGAAGCTCTATGGTTACCATGCTAGAAAGGAAAAGTTGATTTCTCAGTAGTATCTTTTAAAAACATGAAATGTATATTTTGAAAAGTTAATAAACTATTCACAACTTCAGTCAATTATTAGGCAGAATGTTCCCTTTCAAAAGAGACTACCTGGTAAATTTGTTCAGGCTTTCTTTGTTCCGTGTCCATACACACTTTGGCAATAACTACTACAACGGAACATATGCCTATTTAATGACCCAGCAATTCTACTCTTAGTATATTTCTAATAGTAATGCTAGGTTGGTGTGCCAAGATAAATTGTACCCAATGTCCACAGAAGAAGAAGAAGAAAACAAGAGCTGCTGTCCAGCAACAAAAAAAGAAACAACTGGGGTAATTTAAACAAGAAAATACTGCTCAACAAGGCAAGTGAACAAATATTAAATACACAGCCACACAAATGACTTATAAAAATATAATGTTGAAGAAATCAGGGACAAAGAATACATACTGTACAATTCCACTTATATAAACTTCAATAGGCAAAACTGGTGTTAGAATTCAGGATAGTGGTTGTTTTGGGGGGGAAGATATAGAACTGATTTCAAGGAGGCCTAGCATGTGACCTGGGGGCTAGTGTTAGGTGTTGACATAATTAACTCATTTATTTGTATAATTTCCTATATGTATGTGTCATTAGCAAATTATTTTTTTTTAAAGTTTTAAAGGCACCCAGTAGTAAGTTTGGTACAGACAACTCAGAAGAAAATAAATGCACAACAGTAACTTACTTTCACCAACCCAGCTGAGCTCTAGTTCAAAAGCTTTATCCTTAACTTCATCATGCACTATGTAAATTCTAGAACGGAAGAGGGAAAATTATTACAATCATTTGTTATCTACAAACACTGTAGTTCATGTACCCAGTCAGCACAAATTAGAACACCCATTCTTTGCATAAAATTATACAAACACAGTTTATATTTATGAACACTAGAAAACAAATTACACGAGATTGATGAACACTACAAATGACTCAATATACCTTTAAAACTCAGTTGTGTATTTTGATACATTGCTTAGGAGATGTAACTAAAAAAGATTACGTAAGGAAAACAAATGGGAGAAGGCCATCATCACCTATGTCTTTCAGGATATTTGTTTTCTCCATTAACTGATTTTAAGTTTTGCAGTTGTCAGTGGTCTTTTATCTGCAACTTCTTGGCAGGACTCTTTTTTTATATCCTTGTGCATTTTCCCCTTAACCTGGCCTTTAAACAACAATATGTGCCAAATTGCAGCAAACAAAGAGGCTCTCACATAACACATTCAAGTAAAAATTTCAAAAAATTAAGTATCAGAGCAAAGCTTTCCTGTTTTATACTTTACACCATCTTACACACTTTACTTTTAGAGGGCATTCCTAACACCTTACCATAATACGAGAAATCTTGCTTTTCTGAAATTCCATTTTACTAAATAAACAATGAAGGGATGTCTTTCCTACATGGAACTAGTGTGTACTGTTACAGCTAAACATAAAAGGTCTAGTAAGGGCTAATTTCCAGAATCACTTTTCAGTAAAGAAATTTGAAATTAATGAGGATTAATTACTTTATCTTTTTTCTTTGAATTTTATTTTTAGAGAGAGGGGAAGGGAAGGAGAAACAGGGAGAGAAATATCGTATGTTGCCCCACACACGCCCCCACACTGGGGACCTGGCCTACAACCCAGGTGTGTGCCCTGACTGGGAATTGAACCTGACCCTTTGGTTTGCAGTCTACACTCAATCCTTTGAGCTACACCAGCCAGGGTGGGTTACTTTTTAAAAAGTGGGTTCTGCTTCACAACTAGAAAGGGGAGGATTCCAGTTTTGAAGAGATTAAGGGGATCATTTAGTATACTTACTGTTACGTAAAAGAACTCTAGGATTTTTTCCCTTGCATGTATTATTAGATGTAAAACTTGAGACACTTTTACAAAAAGCTGACTGACTAGACTGTGTTCCTGTTGACAGTGAGAGGTACTGTGAATTCTCTGGAGAATTATGTTTATGACTAAAATCTGAAAAGCTAACTGCAGAACCAGCATTTTACTGGATTTTTTGGATATTAAATGCCTGCATTCCTTGACCTAGAAGAATTAAGAAGTACTGCCAACTCAGGTTTACTGGCTTTGTTTTTGCTTGATACTAATTATTACATGGCATTTGGCCCTAGCTGGTGTGGCTCAGTGGATTCAGCACCAGCCTGCAAACCAGTTAGATTCCCAGTGTAAAGCACATGTCTGAGTTGCAGGCCAGGCCCCTCAGTGGGGTAGTGCATGAGAGGCAACCACACGTTGATGGTTTTCTCACAATCTTTCTCCCTTCCCCTCTATAAAAATAAAATATTTTTTAAAAAAGTTAAAAAATTATTACACAGCATTCTATTCCATACCTGTAACATGAACCACTTCAGGCTTGCTTAAATTCTTTTAAAATGTTTGAAATACTAAGTTCTCATCTTGTTACAAGAACTTTTATCATTAACATTATCTTACCCAAAGAAACATTATGTAAATGAGTCAATTTCATGGGTCACATACAGAAATAATTAGCTGTAAACCAAAATAAAGCCCTGGCTGGTGTAGCTCAGAGGACTGAGCGCAGGCTGTGAACCAAAGGGCCGCCAGTTCAATTCCTAGTCAGGGCACATGCCTGGGTTGCAGGCCAGGTCCCTGGTACAGGGTGCATGAGAGGCAACCACACATTGGTATTTCTCTCCCTCTCTCCTCCTCTACCCCTCTGTCTAAAAATGAATAAAATCTAAAAAAAAAGAAAAAGAAAAGTTTGTAAGTTAAGATTATTATTATGACTTCTTAGAGTTGGGGAGCTGGGAACTATGATATGAAGTACCTAGAGGTCCACTATGTCCTCCTACCTTAAATTCTATCATCTAAGCAGGAGTTTATTTTGTCAAAAGGTATTTTTTCCCATTTCATTCATTGTCACTTAAATTTTGAATATTCTCTTTGATTTTCCTTCAAATAGTAAATTCACCTTCTAAAATTATGCCCTGTTATCTTCAAACAAAACAGCCTTTTTGAATTAATGTATAAGGTAAGGTAAAGTGAAATATTTTTGTCAATAGTAAGAAAAATTTCAACTTACATTTTTGCAACTTCTTTAACAACATCACGACACGTCATTTCTTTCATCTACAGAAAATAAAAATACATATATATACTCACACAGTAAGTTATGGGTTATAGAAACACTTTCCACTTGTGTAACTATTTTCAGATTTTTTTACAATCTCTATCAACAACCCATGCTCTTGAGATAGATTCTCAGATATAAAACCAAGGAAAATAACCTAAAATCTCAAAAGCCCAGAACCTGTTTCTTGATTCAGTATAATGTTTTTAAATTATTATGCCAAAACATATTCTGGACAACCATAATGCTGAGTACCACTAATTTTGTGATAAGTATTAAAATTTATAAAAATCTATACCCTGCTAGTCTATTCACAAGCAGATGCTGGTGTTTAAAAGACTGGTTTGTTTTTTTTTCTTTATAACCAATCTGGGAAAATAAAATGCAAACAAATCATGCATACTTACTATAAAGACATGCAGAAATGTGTAAGATTAAAATGTTCCCTGTGGAATTATTCAAGACAAAGTTCAAAACAAAAAATGCAAAATATTAGGGAAAGCCTTATAAAACCAAGATTTGAGTGGGTTCTTAGGACATAGTTGGATTTGGTTTGATTTCAAGGAAGCAAATGAAATGGCAAAAGTGGGAAGCCAAAATCTTAATATTAAAATTAGCATTGTTAGAGTGAACATTTGGAATCAGGGTAGAAAAAGAGCCTTTAGGTGCCCATCAGAGAAGTTTATATATGGTAGGTACTGGAAATCACCAATGCAAGATTTTATTAGGCACGTGGGTTTCTGAACACATGTGACAAGATTTAAAAATGTCTGAGTAAACTGGCATTCCTATTCTGGATATGGTGGGAAGGATGGAAATGGTAAAGAAAATAAAGCATATTTACCAAGCAGACCAGACTTGAGGTGATTCAGTTACTTTAAACTAGGTTCATTAAAGTTTTTGGTATTTATTTAATTTTAAAAAATCTTGATGCTCTGTGCCTGCACAACCATATGAGGAAGCAGGACCAACAACAAAAAGCATAATACTGAATTAAATTGGAGAATGCCAGTCTTGTTAGGAAATAGACAAATCCAATATGTGGAACCAACTACAAAAGCAACTGCCATGGGCTCTTCAAAAAAGTTAATATTGGAGGAGGAGAGGACTTCAATTAGGAGAGGTGTAAGAAACAAATTCAGCCCTGGCTGGTGTGGTTCAGTGGATAGAGTGCTGGCCTTCAAACCAAAGGGTTGCCAGTTCGATTTCCAGTCAGGGCACATGCCTGGGTTTCGGGCCAGGTACCCAGTAGAGGGTGTCTGAGAGGCAACTACACATTGATGTTTCTCTCTCCCCCTCCCTCTCTGTCTAAAAAAAATAAATACCTTAAAAAAAAATTCAGTGTGTGAACCTTAATTTTATCATGGTTTGAAAAACAGTTTCAAATGACATTGTTTCCTAAGCCAACTCAATTATGGACTGCATATTACTTAGATGACATGTTAAGTGTGATAATGGTATTATTCCAAGGATTTGTCAATCCTGAAGCATTTAGGAACGCAATGTTATGATGCTGGCAAATTTTGTTTCAAGGCATATAAGCGGATAAAATGTTGGAAAATATTAACTGCAATCTAAATGCAGATATGTGTTGTACTATTCTTATCTTTCCTGATGTTTAAATTTTCTCATGTTACATTGGGGATGAAATGAAGGAAAGGAATACCAATCTTTATACTTCTGTCCTTATAGGTTAAGTTCTATATTTAATAAATTATATCATACAAAGGCAAACTTAGGTAAATGTGAAAAGGCACATTTTAAATGACAAATACACTTTTACATATGTTTGTGAAGTTTTTATTTCATTAAGTAATATTTTTGGTAAACACATCAGAAGAAAAACAGGCCAGAGCAATGATTTACAGCACTAGTTGACAAACTCTTTCTATAAAGGGCCATATAGTAAAAGTAAATGTTTTGACCTTTATGGTCCATATAGTCTTTGGTCCCTGTTCCAACTATCCAACTCTACTGTTACAGTGCAAAAGCAGCCATAAACTGAATGTGACTGTGTTCCAAAAAAAACTTTCAAAAGTGTACCATAGTTTGTTGACCTGATTGAGAGCATGTTTTTGTCATTTAGGTATACATTTTTCTCAACTGAAGTGATCTTGCTCAATTCTTAGCTAGGATTTAATCTCAGAAAGACAAAGGACACTTGATTGCTCTAAATACTCTCTTCAGATTTCTACACAAGGTAAGGAAAGATGAAAGCAAAAGGGAAATGAATAGAAGATGGGAACTTAGGAATACACATCAGGAAGTGTATGTACGATGGAAAAGAACACTGGTCTAAAAGTTGTAAGGTCTAGGAACTCTTCATAACCAATGTAATTCTATGATTCTAGCCAGTGTGTTTAACCCAGGGTTGTATTTGGGCTAAGTGATGTCTAAGATCCTTTTGTCAATTTTACTAAAACATCAAACATGAATTAGGCTTATAGGTATAGGACGTGGCATTAAATTCTAAGCGCTAAGAAGATATTTTATAGAGTCTGGCCTTAAATACATTGAATGAGTAGTTGAGCAAAGTCCCACATTAATAGTAAATGTATACAAAGATTTTCTCATTGTAATGTACCAAAATACTGATAAATCACATGCCCCCCTTTTTGGGAACTTTCTGATAAGCATTAAGGTTGACACTGTTTTAATATTAAGTTAATCAATTTGGCTAAAAGGAAAACCAACATATTTTTAGGAAGACATCTTTACACTATTATGAATTTTTGGCTCTTGGAAGAAGTGGGTAGTTAGAACAGGACAGGGTTTCATGCTTTCTATGGATAGGAACAAAGGAAAGAGAAGCACTGGAGCACTGAGACTCTTGTAAGACCTCCACAGACAAAAGTGCTCTAGAGAAGAGATGATATAATGAAACACCAAAGTTCTCAACCTAAGGCTCACAGGGCTCCATGAATGGGCTTGAAGGATTTTATAAAATTATATGATAATTTGTATCTGGATTAAGTGTTTATAATAAGCACATATCAAAATCATAAAGGGATCCATGATACAATTCTACAAGTAATATGTTACCAGGTTTCCTATTCAGCTATTTAGCTTCAATAAGCTCTGCTCCAAACAGCAAACCACACTATATCTTTGGTCAAAAAGGTTTAGTTTGTGGAGGTAAAACTTCATTACATGTAGACAATGTTATGGCAAAAATTCAAGCATTAAGTATGTATTACCTGAAGCTTTTCTATTTCTGTCTTTGCAGCTTGCCTGGCTTTGCCAATAGCACAACCCCAATAACCCTATTTAAAAAGAACACACACCAATATATATATATATACATACATATATCATTCAGCTAACATACTATCATAAATCACTGATGACTACTGTTTCTATTTAAAGTTAATGAAAGGATGTTAAATGACTTTCAAAAACAAGTATGGAGAAATACAGTCAAACACATCCTAATGAATAACAAAGGGCTCAAAAAACTTAAAATATCAAACTTAATTCTAGAATAATATGGATTATTTTTAATAAAGGTATATCCAAAGAAAAACTAATTATATCATTATATGCACTCATGAACAAGAGACACTTTTGAGTAGGAATGAAATTAGCATTATAACAATGAAAAAAGTTACTATGAAAGAAAGAAATCCCTGAGTTCTACACTCTAAATCATCATTCTTTTTTATATTATAAAGGTTATTTTTTTAATTAAAGGATGTCCATTTATACTTGTGTATAATGACAAACTATAAAGTCTTCACTTATTTTTTAATTAGTAAAAACCATAAAAATCTCAGAAGACAGTTAAGATAATCAGAGAAAGGTTCAAATCCCATTTGTATCTGGATTACATTTAAATCCCATTTAAAATCCTTTTTTAAAAGGGAAAATAACATAGTTTCAAGACACTGCTAATAGCAACAATAATGAAGGAAATATCACATACTGAAAAATCTATGTTCACTATGCAGTTTTTATAAACAGCATACTAAAAACCACAAATCTTTCCTTTGCCTCATGTTCATAGGTTTTTGTTATTCATGATAACAAAATGTTACTTTCCTTGAATGAATAAATTTTAACGAAACTTCATGTAATCTAAGTATATGATTTCAATACTCATAAATTACCATTAAACTAAAAGAATTCCTTATGATTCAAAATTACTCACATATGAAACACCTGATGGGTCAATCATGTAGAGTTGTGCACCGTCATTCACAGTGTAAGACCCTAACATGAAACTGCATAAAAGTAAATTAATTGTTTAAACCATGGGTCTTAGTATCATAAAAGTATTTTAAAAACACAGTGATAAAAATGAAATTATACTAAAACTACTTATATACATGTAACTCATTATACAGTTTGATAAGGTAGTTTCAATAAAAACTAGTACATTTTTGAAACTTCAAAATTCACGTAGCTTTGTTTGCTTAGTATTAAGCATTCTGATGAAACTTTCCTGGAAGGATAAGCAGTGTAGACAAAGGAGTACTGATAGATGGAAAACTAGTTAAGAGGGCTCAATAGGTAAAAACATAAATATGAAGAAGTCAAGATGACAAAATTCCTGATGTGAGTACACTGAATCTACCTCAAACTCTTGTTCCTCAAACTCTTCATTCTTTTTTGGCTATTCATATTCCTCCAGTCATTTTTCTGAAATCTAAATCAGTTCAATGCACTTTTATATGCTCAACAAATTAAAAGTAGGCCATTAAACAATCATATGAATTACTGATTTCCTGAAATTGTGACTTTCCTTTAGAAGTAGAATAGAAACCAGCCTCATCTTATATATCATTTTGTGTTCGAAATACCACCAGTCCAATTCCCTACTATCACTCCCTTCATCTTCCACATGGCTATGAGCCTTATCTTTCAGAATATATAACTGATTATCATTATTTTAAAATCTTCAATGTGTTTTTAGTATGGAGCAGACTTCTCTATGGTCTGGCTCCTTTATCTTCAATATTGTATAAATCTTACAGTCTAGACACCAAGTATACTTGACTACTTTCACATTACCTGAAATGCCTGTGTAGTTTCATACCAGTTCCTCTACTTGAAATACCTTTATCAATCCCCCTACATTTCACACCCTCCTTTCCTTGCCAACTCTCCAGAAAGAGGCCACTCCTTAACTGGGTATAGTGCTCCACTATACTCATTATATACATTTATCATATCACCTCTGAAATTGTATCAATGGTAACTTATCTTTGTGCTCCCCTATCATACCAGCATTCCTTAACAACAACAAGAAACTAAGATTAACAGAACTTAAAATGTAATTTTTGTATGGATTCATTAAAAAATTCCCATTCAAGAGCATTTTGCCTAATTGTTTAAAGTATACAGACAAGAAATTAATGAGAATACTGATGTGTCAGTATAGTTGGCTACCTAATAATGACAATACGGAGTATTAATCTGCAGTTTCCTGAGAATGTCAGGATCTAACATCAGAGATTTATTTTTTGTTTTATTGAAAAATAAAAAGTTTTTTCCTTGTGATAACAACACAGATTGTACTCTCTTAACTTTCCTATATATCATACATCAGTTTTAAGTATAGTCATTAGGTTGTATATTACATTCTTAATACTTATTTATTTTATAACTGGAAGTTTATACCTTTAGATCAGACCACCTTCCTCCAAAAATTAATCATAATCAGATTAAAAATATATGAGTTCCATGTTTTATCATCAGTTTAAGTCTGTACACTCCTACCAGGGTAGCTCAGTTGCTTACAGCATCATTCCAATATGCCAAGGTTGCAGGTTCAAACCGTGGTCATGGCACATACAAGAATCCACCAATGAAGCATAAGTAAGTAGAACAACAAATCAATGTCTCTCTCTCTCCCCCCAACCCCCGTCTCTCTCAAATCAGTAACAAAAAAAAGCCTATACAGTGTTTTTCACTATTCAAAGTCTTTATTTTCATGTACAGTGTTGTAGTTAATCACTGCCCTAACATTTCTTAGTAATAGTTCGTATTTTCAGGGGTATAAAAGGTTAAAATGCTGAAAAAAACAGATACCTATAGTATAGATCTTACTGAGTATTTCAGAAAATGTCATACCTGCAGCCAAAAGGTCTAACAGCACTGTAGAGTGTATACGCATGTACATACATGGCCACTCTGTCTGCAAGATGCTGGAGGAGGGGAGGAAAACAGAAAAGCTTATTAATAAACTTCTATTATCATTCAAAAGCCTCCTCAACATGTCATCAACTTACTTTTAGTGGAATGTCATAGCCAAAGTTAGACCTAAAGTTGGAAGCTTCTTCTCTTGCAATGTCTGCTAAAGAACGAGCATCTGCCAACAAACCGGCTACTGCCTGAAAGAAAGTACCAATTTAATATATATACCCATCATATGATAGATCAAGGAAAGTATGTAATTATTATAGGCTTTAAAAATATTTAGCCCCTGGCTGGCGCAGCTCAGTGGATTGAGCGCGGGCTGCAAACCAAAGCATCGCAGGTTCGATTCCCAGTCAGGGCACATGCCTGGGTTGCAGGCCATGGCCCCCAGCAACCGCACATTGATGTTTCTCTCTCTCTCTCTCTCTCTCTCTTTCTCCCTCCCTCCCCTCTCTAAAAATAAATAAAATCTTTAAAAAAGTAAAATTATCCATCAAAAAAAAATTTAGCAAGCATCACCATTAAAAATAAGTTCTTTTGGCTTAAAGTCTTCTTCATAAGACTTTCTGGCATTTTGATGCTTGGGTATGGGATTACAATTTAGAAATTTACCAAGTGTGACTTCACTGCTTTGTCCAATGATCATATTCACAAGAAATATTCCTATAATAAATCCTACATGTCTCTCCACTTACCATTTCAGTACGAAGAATAAAAGAACAAAAAGAATTTAAAAACTATTGGTCTTGGTAAGGATTTCTCTTTTCTTTCTTTAAAGCAGTTCTATGTTCAAAAAGTTATTAAAAGTTTTGGTTTAAACAGCACAAATTCAAATCTTCCTTTTCTGCCACCTGACTAATAAATTGTAATGCCAAACCAAATGTGACAAACCACTGTCCTCTAAGATTGGTGGCTTACAACTGCAGTTACCAAACCATGTACTGAACTATCCTAGGGCACTGCAGTGAACTCAAGAGTTGTGAGACTTTAAGTTTGGGAGAAAGATTCGTTCAGGCAGTTCATGTTCAACATTAGATCATTCATAATCCTTTTAGTATCATCATATCACTCAGAAGCTGGGTTGCTGTAACAAAAAATAAGAACTGTTCAAAAATCAATATGGAAAAGGAAATGAGGGGGGCAGCATGTAATCTGATTCCAAAGTTTAAGAAATTGTGTAGTGCACATTAACTGTGATTGTTTAAAAATAAAATAAATCTATTTCTTTCATGCTATGTGTATTTTTATATAGCTACTAAGATTTTAGGACATAAGCACTAACTTGTTTGGACCTAAATACATAACAAAGAGAACAACTGAGTATTTTTTTTTTGGCCTAGGGAAGCCTTGAGAAAAAAAATTACTAGAACATAGGTACTAGGAACCAAAAAGTCTAGGAACTGCTTGGTTAGGAAATTTGCAGAATTTAGAAGTGATATCAGAACTTTTAATAGCCTTTTATCTACTGCTACCTACTAATAGTAAGGATGGTGAAAATTCCTAACACAAATTGAGCACTCATAACATGCTAAGGATTTACATGATCACTTTGAACTTTTCCAATAACTGTATACGGTAGGTATTATATTACCATTGTAGTTTTGTGGATGAGGAAACTAGTGTTTAGAGTAATTTCCCCAAGGTTACCCAGCCAGTAAATTTCACCACTTAAATTAACTATTGCTTTGGAGAAAGCTTCTTGTGCAGTCTTAATAATTCTCAAATCATGTGAAGTTGACAAATGTAGAAACACAACATTAACCCTTCATTGTTCCCAACCCTCTTCAATGTGCACCTAATGTTTTACCAATTTCTGGCTATAAGGAATGCCGTCAGTTTCCTGGCTTTAAATAACAAATGTTAAAAATTTGAAAATTCTAGAATAACAATTTTTCTATGACTAAAGTGCCTGTAAGCATATATTATTTTTTTCAAAATACCCCTATGTAAAGTAGTATTTACTGAGTGAAGGAATGCCTGCTTCACAAGTTCCCCTCCTATCAGCTAGGTTACAATGTGCCAAGTTTCATAAAAACTATCAGTTTCACTGGCAATAATAAATTTATTCAGGAGAGAAAATATGTTCAGAAACAATCACTGAAGAGGCAAAAAAAAAATTATCTGTAGATTTACAGTCAACTGGCTATACGTTAGCAGTCCCTTTGGTGTTCGTGCGTAACCCATCTCATTTGGAAATACCAAAGCTAACAGCATAGTGTGTTCTACAGGATCTCTCTCTGCAGACTGGGCTCTGGAGTAACATGTAAACCACGCAAACCCAAAAGTCTGAATCCCAGCTTATATCTTGACCAGTTTTAGAGATCTGTTTTCTGTAAAAATGGGATTAGTATTACTTTCACTGGGTTGTCAGGATTAAACGAGATAATTTATATATAAAGAGACTTTGGCCCAGTGCCTAGTACACAGGTTTTCTCGTTTCTTCCTAGCCTTTTCAGTAAGCAGAATTAGAAGCTTTTCTTTCTTTCTTTTTTTTTTTTTTAAGGTTATTCTCACTAAAGAAAGTCTGATATTCATATAGGATGACTTCAGTCTATATCAGTAATGTATTTATTACTTGCCTTGCAATTATGCAAAGTAGTCACTCAAGACACCGGCTGCATGAAATAAGTTAAACTCGGTGATACCTATGAAACTATTAAAAAGGATGTGTTCCACTTTTCCTTTCATTAAACATCCTTTCCTGGTGCTCCACTTACTATAAAGGTATTCTCTATCTGATTAACATCTTCAGTATGACAATGACTGCCACAAAGGGATATAAAAACTTCAAGATTCTTTGACACTTCAGAAAAGGCCCTCATCAGTGATCTATGTTGCCAAGATTTCTTTTTTAGACATATTTCTCACCCTTCTACCTTCATCCTTTTCTTAAGGCATTTGGTTTTTCATATCAATTTCTAATCAAGTTATGAGAATGCTACCTTTCTTTTAGATAGGGAACTATTCACAAACCAGTAACTCTCTGTAATAACTTCTGTGGCTGCTCTCTAATCTGTTTCTGCCTCAATGCTGAAGTAAAAAATGGGTTCTTATAATCACATTTTAATATATTCCAATCAGTTACTTTACAAGAAATTGGAGAAGGCAAAACAAACCTTTTGAAAAGTGACCTTACCATTCCAACATGCCGATCAACATTAAAAAGTCGTTTGTTGGAACCTTCCTCATAAAGTTTAGAAAGGACTAATTTTTCTACCCCAAAGACAACGCCATCTTTACATCTGATTCCAATAGCTGTACTGAAACAAGCAGAAGAAAATAAATTTTTTTAATGAAAATAAACCTCATAAACTTAAGTCAAAACACAAAAATAGGTTAACATTTGGTTTTTTGAGCATGGCAAGTACTTTAAAACAAATACATTTGAAAACTAGAAAGGGGTAGTAAATTATACCCATATAAATACCATGTGACAAAAAAAATCTACCATACTGTGCCATAAAGATATTAACACATAAGTAAAAGAAAGATGCCAACAAAATATGTACAAAAATGGCAACTTATAGTTACACTGTAACAAATCCTGACTAAATTCATGTCCATTAAAAACGTTACATAGTATGCATAGAAAAAACAGGCCATACACAAGCTAAAAAGTTGGCTGTGACTAATTTGGGTAGAGAGATTATGATTTTTTTTTTCTTTCATTTGTTCATTTGCTTTTTCTGCACTCACCACATATTTTTAATAATAAGTATATAAAAATAAAATACACGTTCTGTACAACAGTTTAAAACAAAGTAGATCTTAAAGTAATCTCAAGTTGTGGAGAAATTATGTTGCCATTTTAAGATGAAAATACATTAATTACTTTATTCTTCCAAACATTTTCATAAGGGAATTCTGATGGGAAACAACCAAAAACATGAACAGAGCCACATATACACATTGCAAAGAAATGCAGATACTCCTTCCCTGACACGTCCCGTATCTCCAATGGCTCCCCTGTCAAGTTTAAACTTCTTGGCCTACCTTTCAAAAATCCTGAGAATCTGCAAAGCCCATCTAGCTTATTCAGTTTCCTATTATAAATCCAGTGCTCTCCTGAACTCAACCTCACTATCACCCGACAAACACCTCATGTTAATTTCTGCTGTTACGTCTTCATCTTCCTCACTGATCAGTTCTTTATTCTAATCTAAAAGTTCAGTCTGTGAACTCCCTTGGGAATCCCTGAAACCCTTTTAAGGGGACCTGTGAGGTCAAAATTATTTTCATAGATATACAAAGACATCAGTTACCTTTTACACTATGTGGATGTTTTACACTAACGGTACAGAACAGAAGCACTGGTGGATAAAACTGCTGGCACCTTAACATTAATCAAGGCCATAATAACAAATGCTAGTATAAACTACTAATTGCATTCTTCACTGCTATGCTCTCACAATTTAACAAAAAATAAAGGAACTTTTAGTTTAAGAATGTCCTTGATAAAGCAGTAATTAATTTTATTAGATGACAACCCTTAAGTACCTTTTTATTATCATACTGAAATGGAAGGTACTCAAAAGTACTTCTGTACATCAAAATAGGATGGCCTCCTAAAGGGACAAGCACTGGTAAAATTGTTTTTGAGTTGTGAATTTTCCCATGGACACCTGTTTTTACCTTCAACAAACATCAGACAAACTACAGTTATTTACATTTAAGTATATGGCAGATTTTTTCTAAAATGAACAAGTGAGCCTTTCACTTAAAAAAAAAACAAAAAAACAAAACCAACTGATCATATTGTATTGTCAGTGATAAAATTCAAGTTTTTTCAAGCAAAAACTGGAATTTTGGAAAACATTCACCCCGTGTGAGCTTGTGTTTCCCAATATTTACAATCTTATACGATCAGACTGATAGTAATATTAATAAGTGTGATGTTTCTGATAGTTTACAACAAAATATGTCAAATTTGGAAGATCTGTTATAACTCAGTTAACCAATATTTTCCAAGTGACCAACACACAATGTTACAGATCATACATGGGTAAAACATCCAAAGTGCAAGACAACCCAACAGATTTTAATTTCCAAGTACAAAAAGTTGATTGTTAAGTATTTAGACAACACACTGCAAAAAACAAACAAACAAACAAAAACACACACACAAAAAAACCCTTAAGAAATTATCATTTGTCTAGTTTTGGTGTAATATCATAGAACAACTATAATTATCTGGAAAGGCTATTAAAATACTCATTTTTCCAACTCCATATGAGCATGCAGACTGATTCAGTTCACATGCTTCAATAAGAGTAACAACATATTATTGAAGCAGAAGCAGATATGAAAATCTGTCTTCTATTAAGCTTCCATTAACTACTGAGAGTCACAAAAATGTAAAACAACACCACTTTCTAGCTACTTTTTTTTTTTTTTACATTTTGGTTTAAGTTCTTTTTCATTAAAAATGTTACTAATATTATTTTTAATAATATTCATTTAAATCACTTATGTTAACATGCAATTGTGTTGTAATTTTGATTGAATATTTTAAATTTTGTTTTAAAGCCTAACATGGTAAATATTAATAAAATTAATAACCTGAATAAATAAAAGATCTTTGGGGGTCACAGTAAATGTTGATAGAACCTATAGTCTACATTAAAAAAATGCTCTTTGAGATCCTGTGATTTTTTTTACAAGTATAAAGAGATCCTGACACCAAAGTTTTACTTATATTTCTGTTCTAAACAATCTAGTCCTTATGTTGTATTTCAATCTTCTTATCATATCCTGATTCCTCAAGGAAGCTAAAGGGGAAGGTTATAATTTAATCTTTTACATACTATGATCATAGCGTACATGTTGTAATACAGTGCTTTTAAGTATCAACTTACAGGTCATTATTTGTGTTGATAGTTCCTATACTTAATAGGCAGTCAAAAAAATCTGATTTTTAAATTCCGAAGGTTAAATTTCTTTCTTTTAAAAAAAGTAATCATCGTTCAATGCAGGAATATAATCTTAAATCAAATTACTTAATTAAATGGTTAAATGTTTTCTAACTATTAGTTTATATGTCAGAGTCTTAAGAAAATTAATATACAATCTAATTTTTCTAATTTCCATTTTTGTGCCCACACAGCACTTAAAAGATTTTCCAAAGGTTTTTACATATATTTCATTCTTATTGTAAGGTATGTGAAGTAGTTAGGGTAGATGTCTCCACCCAAATTTTACGAACAAATGAAAAAAAGGAACATTCAGAGGACTGAAAAGAGGAACCGTATATAACATCAAGCAGCAGCGAGGAGGAAAATGCACACCTTGTGATCCTCATCCAATATCCTATCACAGATATCTTTAAAAGAAGTACTTTCCTAGCATTTTTTTCTTTATACAGGAAAAAAATACATTTATTTTTAATGTTTCGATTTTTAAAAATTCCAATTTTACTTAAATGAAACTGTTTTAAACCATATTTAGATATACTTAATAAAAACAAATTACAAGATACACAGATCCTCATAACCTAGACTCACTTTTTTGGATTACAGATGGTTTTATAGAATGCATTTCCAGTTTTTCTTAGTCAATATTTCTCTTACCAGTTTTTTACACTCAATGAAAGTGCAAGAATGCAGAGGAGGAGAAAAACAGTAATTTCCTCAAGTCTTTCTCCAGCTACCTGGTCTAATGGCCTATCTTCCTTTGTCATAAGAAAATGTGTCAACGTTTTTCTTGAATTTGTTTCTCTTCTGAACTCTATTAGACTTCATATACAATGACAAATACATTTTAGCCTAAAGTCTTAACAGCCTTCTATTATAGCATCAGATAATGACAGTTTGTAAGTATCAGTATGTCTAATACAACTTTAAACACAAAATAAACTAACTTCGCTCATTTCAAATCCTGTAACAGGACTTAAAATGTATTTTTGTTGAAAAAATTTTAACTATTTCATAAGCCATTAGAAATCCACATACCTTCTTTCTACCACTCAGAAGATGGCACAAAAAAAATGACTATTGATGCAATAACTACTGAGGGCTTGCTAGGTGACAGACAGCACATGCAAAAAAACAAGTAACAGTCTTCACCCTCATAACTTCCATAGTCATATATTATTAAAAGTACTTAGTAGAAATCTGAACAACTCAGTATTTACATGTAGACTTTTCTAAAATTCTACAAACATTTCCCTATTCCACCTTTATTCCAAAAGCTTTCATTATGATGAAAATAAAAAAATAGCTGGTGTGTCTCAGTTGATTAGAGCGCCGGCCTGTAAACCGAAGGGTTGCCAGTTTGATTCCTAGTCAGGGCACATGTGTGGGGTGCGGGCCAGGTCCCCAGTGTGGGTGCATGAGAGGCAACCACACATTGATGTTTCTCTCCCTCTCTTTCTCCCTCCCTTCCCCTCTCTAAAAATAAATAAATAAAATCTTTTTTTAAAAAACTGAGCTTAAACACCATTTGTTTATGAGGCCTGAAAGTCTTTGAGATCTGAGTGAGATGTATAAAAGAAATTCTTTTTTAAATGTACTTTAATTCATCCCAAAGCTGCTTTAGATTCAAAATACAATGATCACGTAATTATAACTGATAAAATTTCTTCAATTAAAGAAATTTTCCTCATAAAATTTGTCAGCAAGGTAATAATTTAACCAAAGTGTTATAGCAATGCCAAGAAATCATTTTAATGCGTGATTCTAAACAATAAAATACAGAGTACAGTCAAATAGAAAAATATCTTACTGATCCTACATCTTTCTCATTCTCTCTCTAAAAATCAATAGAAATTAGAAATAAATAAATAAAAGGAAAAGGGCTACCAAAGATGAAAATGATTCAGTTTTATGTACCTCACTTGAAACATGGTAAGATGTTCAAGTGGGTTAACACTGGAATCAACTGGGAACAAAGGACTGGGGCTCATGAAAAGATATGACCTAAAAAAAGAGATCTGGAAAAACTACTAAAAAAACAAACATACAAATAAATTTTAAAAAGAGAAAGAAAAAATCTGGATATGACTAATAAATTAAGATTATTTTACAGCACATATTATTTTGTGCCAAAGTAACAACAAAGGCTAAGTACCAGGAATATATAAAAGGAGATACTAATTAACTGGTTAAAATATGGTAATTTTAAGTAAAACAATGTTTCTTACCTACTATTTTCCACAGCCTTCATAGCATATTCAACTTGAAAAACTCTTCCATCAGGAGAGAATGTAGAGGCTGACAGGTCATACTATGAGGAAAAGGGCAATAATTAGCCTCTAATGATGTATCCTGGCCAGTAATAACCTTACAATTCTTTTTCTAAATGACTTAAAATATCAGAAATGTGTGTTAAATCTCAACAAAGACTTTGTTTTAACCTGTCAGAGCAGCAACAGCAGCGAAGAGAAAAGTTATACACTTTAGATTTCTCCTACTGAAAAGCAGTAGATACAACTCCTAGATAAAATAAACTTTTTTCACACAAAACACAAAGCTCATGGTATGGCATAAATAGCACTGGAGTCAGACCACTCTAATTCACAGCTGTGGCACTAACAAACTGAAGGACCTTAGACAAATTATTCAACATTCAAACATTTAATAAGCATATATTAGTCACTATAAGGAAAAACAAAGAATACTCCATCTTTAATTCCTTTATTTTAAATCAGACCAAGCACAAATTTAGGTGCTGGAGAAACAGTAGTAACCCAGAAAAGAAAGGACTAATGAAAATAAAACAGGGTGAAGTGATTAAGTAGGAGGAGCTACTATAGACTAGATCAAGAAAGGTCTCACTGGGGCAGTTTATATCTTGTTATTTAGAGTGAGTCACAAATAAGGAGTAACTAGCCATTTTGGATATGGAGGAGCCATCCTGGCATTTGGCATAAAGACCTGAAGGTAGAAATAAGCCTAGCACAATCAAGGAAAAGAAATAAGGCCACTGTTTCTTCAGCACTGCAAGTGGTAGAGAGAAAACTGTATTAGAGACATGTAAGGAAGGGCCAAACTATGTTGAGTCTTCTAGGCTGGAATATGAAGTTTGTATCTTATTGTAAATGCAATAGGAAGCCATTGGAATTTAAACGGGGGGGGGGGTAATATGACTTTTTAAAAACATCATTCATCTGAGAAATGAATTGCACAGGAGAAGAGTAGATGCAGAGATCAGGTATACCAAGAGTGGTACTTCAAATAAAGAAAAAGAGATGGAAGGCAGTATCATTTGAGGTCAAGACCACCTCCCAGCCTCCCCCAATCTCAAAAAACCCCTGCTAATTGACTGGCTCTAGGAATAAAGTAAAAAAAGAAATTAAAGGCAAATCAGATTTCTTTTTGAGTAACAGAACTGGACCATTCACTGAGCTCAAGATTGTAGAAGATGCAAGTAGTATGTAAAAAAAAAAAAAAAGAAAAGAAAAAGAAAGAAAAGAAATTAAAGGTCAATTAGTTTTTCATTTGAGCAACTAGAACTGGACCATTCACTGAAGACTGAAGTTGTAGGAGATGCAAAATGGTAAAGAAAAAGGAACTCCAGAGCTCTACTTTGCACATATAGTTTGAAATGCCTATTGAAAAATAAAGTGGAGAGAAATGTCGAGTAGACAGGTTTTTTTTTTTTTAAGATTTTATTTATTTATTTTTAGATACAGGGGATGGAAGGAAGAAAGAGAGGAAGAGCAACATCAATGTGTGGTTGCCTCTTGCGTGTCCCCCACTGGGAACCTGGCCCGCAACCTAGGCATGTGCCCTGACTGGGAATTGAACTGGTGACGCTTTGGATCACAGGCCCGCACTCAATCCACTGAGCCACATCAGCCAGGGCAGACAGGTCTTCTTATCGGAATTAGAAGTGAAGACAAGGGATAAGCCCTCAGGTGCTTCCTGAGTCCCAGTTTTCTGATGTATTCAATGAAAATCCTTAACTCTACCACTGTAATGCTAAAATATCTCATATGGTTATATCACCAAGTATCTTAACAGGGTTTGTATAATGAAACTACCAACGGAAGGTAACAATAATGCAGTTGCAAAGTCAATTTGCTACAAAGGCATTACTGAGCAACTACTATTCCTAAAAAGTATAAACGTGACATAACTTTAGCATGACTAATCCATTTAGCAAATGGATTAAACCATTCCAAACATAAGTTACCTGTTATCAAACTCGGAAAACCAGTATTTGGGCTTAATGCTGAGTATTAAAAATGTGAACTGCAGAAACATAAACTAAGAAAGCCATTACTCTATACCTTAACGCCAACAACCAATATATATTTCTAAAGAAAACTATACTTTCTGTATGGATTAACACATAAAAGGAGTAAGCAAAATACTGTAGCTCTGCAGTACACTTAACAAAGGAAGGTAGTAAGCCGAACATGTGAGGTCCAACTTCAAAATCCCCAAGAACGGTTAGGTCCCTGGCTAACAGCGGTAGTGTGCTATTATGTGACCTGTACAGGAAAAGCTGGGACAGAGGTAAAACGAGAAAGATTCTTCAGATTCCACTTTTCAGACCAGTTTTCTTAGTTCTGTCCGGACAGGGTTTCCGAGGGGTCATACTGAGTGGTCGATCACTACACTCGTAGGGAAGATGGAGAAGGCCTCGTGAGTCAGCAGCACCCTAGCAACAACTGCATGGAACTGTCCCATGGAAAGCTGGGTCTCAGACCTTGGAATCTCAAGCCCCCTGGCCTCAGTGGTTCTCACGAGGGGCTGACGCCCAAACCCTTCACACTAATTCAGACCCCACGAGTTTCCACTTTCGGTTTCCCTGAGAGGCTAAAGAAAGTGACTCAGCAATCCAAAGTGGCTCCAAATCTTACTGCTCCGCTGCCAGCCCGCTACAGCTGAACTTAAAAGCTTCCGGTCACCGTCACCGCAGACTCGGGCCTAAAAATTAGCGTGGGAAAAACACCTGAAAGAGGCCCACTTGGTCGAAAGCAGTCCCTGTGCACCCCAAACTGGTGCACCCTAAGCAGCGTGTCCGACCTCCCTCCAACGCTAATCCTTTAACTAGACTATCACACCGAGACAATGAACTCACCCCGGTGCCGATTGAGCTCATCCTGCTAACACCAGCCGAACGTGTAGGGCTTCAGGGCCTAAAGCCGTACCCCTACTCCGCAGCACGCAGACTAGTAACAGGCTCTCTCATTGGCTATTTTTTCAACCAATAGCCTTCTCTGTGACTCGTTCCTTGGTTATTTGCCTGGGGAACAGAGGATTGTGGGAAAAGGTGGGGACTAACGAGGCGGGGAACTTGCGTTTGCAGAAGCTGTGGAGGTTGGTTAGGGAAGAGGAAGGAGTCCTTCCTCTTCAGTTTTGGTTGTGAGTGTTTTTGAGCTGTTTTGAGTCTTCGGGTTGATTGAGAAGCTGTTCTATTCTATTTCCTAGGAATTATTTATCTTCTATATTACTCCTCTACTTTGCAACCTTATTCTCTCTGCAGTAAAGCGGAGACCTGTTCTAACCGAGACCTGAGAAAGGTGTAGGGGAGAGGTTTCTCTTCACCCTTGGCATCCTGCTTCTGACCCAGTATTTTGAGGGCATCTCTGTCACCCACCTGTCCTCATAAGGAAAGAAGTTGCATTCTAAGGGTATCACCTTTGAGCTCAGGGATTTTACTGAAGCATTAGAACCCTTTTTGTGAATACAACGATTTAGTAGAATTAATGTTAAGACTAATTAAAGGTATTTGCTGAATTCTGATGTGTCCCGAGACCTCCGCCCCGTCCCTCATGGAATTTACATACAATGGGAGGAAATAGACAACAAAGTGTAAATATGCAAAATGGTTGGACTTGTGGTAAGAAGGTAGAAGACACAATGGAGCTTGAGGCCTACTTAGAAAATGACTTGGGATTGTACCGGAATATAAACTTAGTATGTTACAGGAACGGTCAGGTCAGTGCGGCCTGTCAGTGATTAAGTCGGGGAGACAACAGGAAACGAAATCAGAGAGTTGGACATGGAACCAGATCTTGTAGTGGTTTATATTTTAATCTTGATTATTAATGGAAGGCCATTAGCATTTTTAAACTATTAAATACTTCATTGTGTATTTTCCCCCCAAACAATATTATTTTAGTCACAATATAGTTTTGAAAATCAGAAAATTAAGAATACTATTTTCTAATATAACAGACTTGTATAGATTTTAGTAATTTTCTTAGTAGTGCCCTTCATAGCAAAAGAAAACCCAACACCACATACTGCATTCAGTTGTCATGTCTCTAGGCTCCGGTAATCTCGGAAATAGTTGCTTAATGTAAATAGTTGCTTAATAATCTCCATAGGAGATTGTTCCATTGTCTTTGTCCTAATTTGATCAAAATCAGTTTTTCTTCCTTCCTCTTATAGTTAACATTCTTTATCATAATATTCAATGACTGTATTCTTTCCTCCCAGTTTTTGTTATTTGAGCTGGATAATAACTTCTGAGGGTCCTCTCAATTGTTAGTTACCCGAAAGAGGCCTTATTTTAAGTGAACCAGAATCCCCTTCCTCAATTTAACTTTCCTTGACTAGATCACATTAAAGGAAAAGAGCTAACCTCCGCTGTTTTTTCAGTATCACTTATTTCTTAAAGGTTGACATTTGTTTTTTAATACTGACCCCCCACGTTGTAGGAATCCAGTATGTCATTTGATAGAAGGCGGAAAGCCTTGATACAGGTTTTTTAACGATAACTTGACGTGCTCACTTGGGTAGCACATACACTAAAATTGAAACGATACAGAGATTAGCATGGCCCCTGTGCAAGGATGACACGCAAATTCATGAAGCATTCTATATTTTTCATACCTTTCAAATGCTGCAATTTTAGAAAAAGAACACATTAAGCAGTCTTTTAAAACATTTCAGAGAAAATATTCAATGAACCTGTAATTATAAGAATTTGCGTTGTTTTCAGTGATCTTGGTATACGCACGCAGTAGGAATTCTTGAATTCAAGTAAAATTAAATAAATGTTTTAAAGAGCGTTTGAAAATAATTCGAAAATGCACATTTAATAGTATGATACAATTTTTTATGAACAATATTAAAAAAATTAAACCGAATGTACTTAAGTAATGATTAAGAAGTAAAAAAGTAAGGCGGCTTCCCAGGCGCCCGGCTAGCTCAGTCGGTAGAGCATGGGACTCTTAATCCCAGGGTCGTGGGTTCGAGCCCCACGTTGGGCGTACTTGCCCTTTTGTAAGTTTTTCACGTTTTGCTTTAAAGTTTCTCCAAAACATTGTAACTAAGAAGGAGGTCTGTAAATCTAATTAATTTAAGTATTTTTTTTAATATTAACCAGATCTCTGGAAAAAAATTGCTAACGAGACAGGTCTTAGAGTGCGCCTGCGCATTTGAAAGCACAAATTCCTCTTACTTTCTGTTATTCCTCCCCAATTTTCTACTTAAAGCACGGAGGAAACCGAAAGGCCCAGTTTAAAGATGAGACTAGTTTTCTGTGTGATTGTGCTATGCAAGTATGGCCTCTTCTGGTAGAGGACGATTTTTGTTTCTGTCAGAACAAAATAAAAGCACCGATTTTTGGCACCTTTTCCGAAACGCAAAGATCTCATGTAAAAGCAGCTAAGGAGGCTGAAGGACTTTGAAGAAAATGTGTATTTCTTTTTCGTCTTACTTTCTATTACTTTCATTATAGGGCCTGTCCTTGGGTCGGGGGTAAGTAGGGGAATTTCCCCTGTAGAATACACAGTGAGAAATGTTTCCTTCTGTACAACTAGTCAGATCTGTACAAACAGTACAGACAAGTTTTTCTGCCATTGTTCTTGGGATTATATTTGGGATCTATCCATCCAACTGGGTGGCTCTTTGTAAGTTAATATTCTGGTAAGGGCAACTCTTTGAAACAGCAGCACAAAAAAACGTAGATGTGAACATTCAGATGGACATTTAGGTATTTACAGGAGGCAGGGTTTCTGACTTCTCATTTCACTGACAATTCTGAACTCTGAGAAAGAGAACGTTTACATACGCCAGGACCACCACCACATGCAGGCACATTCCAGAATCTCACTCACTAGATAAACAGGTGAACTATCCATGCTCCCACCTGAAGGCAACCCTCCGTAAAGCACTAATTCCTACACCTCTGTGTTATCCACCAGCTTTCCTCCCACTTAACTATACATTTTTCTTGTTTTCTTCAACATGCAAACATGCTGTGAGTTCTCTATCTTAAAACAAAAACTTTAACGTAGTTTCCCTGCAGGCTACTGTTCTATTTTTCTGTTCTCCTTTGGAACAAGTAATCCCCTACCAGTCGTCTGCATTCATCATTCCTCTCCTTACATCTCAACCCTGACAATGCCCTTATGCCAGGCCAAAAAGTCAACTGTAGTTGCACAAATTTGGTTCATTATTCATTGCAGGTATAAAGCTGAAATTAGTCAAGTAACAGTCACTCATTTAGCAAGAGAGGATGTTTGATGTTGAGTTGGAAAGTCCACTGGAAGTGGACTGTAAGTCAAGGTTTCCAGCAACCCCCTCCTCAGATTTGGTGACTTCCTAGAATGGCTCACAGAACTCAGACTTTTTACTTGATTATGGATACAACTTGGGAACAACCAAATGGAAGAGATGCAAAAGGCAAGGTATGAAGGCAGCTTCCATGCCCTCTCCTAGCAGCTGGATATGTTCACCATCCTGAAAACTGTCTGAACCCTGCCATTTACGTATTTTCACGGAGGATTCATCACGTAGACATGATAGATTATTAACTCAAATCTCCAGCCCCTCTCCGGTCCCTAGAGGTTGTGGGGTGGGGCTAAAGGTTCTAAGCTTCTAATCATGGCTTGGTCTTTCTGGTGACCAGCCTCTGTCCTAAAGCTACTCAGGACCCCACCAAAAGCTGCTTCATTATAACAAACATCACTCCTGTTACCTAGGAAATACCAATGGATTTAGCAACTCTGTAAAATGCTCCTAACACCCCTACCACTCAGAAAATTAAAAGCGTTTTAGCTCTGTCAGGAACTAGGTACAGAAACCAAATATATTTATTATGTCACACCTGCCTAATTCGTCTTTTTTGAATCACTAAGAAATGACACCAACCCCAATCACCGTATTCCAGCTGGCAACTAACCCATCATCCACATTACCATCTGGTATTTTTCCCATAGATATCACCTCTAACTTATGCTATTGTCTCTTCACTCCTACTCCATTGGAATGTAGCTCCATTAAGGCAGGATGTTTGTCTTCCCTCACTAATGTTTCTCAAGCACCTAAATTAGTATCTGGCACATGTGCAAAAATGTGTTGAACTAGTGAGTTAAGAAATGGGTGTATTAGATTTGTAGGGCTGTAATAACGAAGTACCACAAACTAGGTGGCTTAAAACAACTGAAATTTATTCTCAGTTCTGGAGGCTAGAAGCTGGAAATCAAGGTGCAGGCAGTCATGCTCTCAAAGGCTCTCTTGAAGAATCTGTTCTATGGTTTTCTCTCAGCCTTCTGATGTCACCAGCAATCCTTGGTGTTCCTTGGTTTGCAGCTGCGTAACTCCAATCTCACCCTTGGTTGTTACATCTTTAAGTATCTCTGTTGCACGTGGCGTTTTCCTCTTCTTTATATGGACACCAGTCATATTGGATCAGGGCCCACCCCAATGACCTCATCTTAATTGGATTACATCTGCAAAGACTTTATTTCCAAATAAGGTTACATTCACAGGTACTGGGGATTGGGACTTCAAAATATCTTTCTGGAGCACACAATTCAACCACTAAGAGCCGGCTCCATTTGTTAACCTCAGCCACTAGGTGTCTGCCACTTTGGAGCTAGCCAGTGCTCCATTTCAGTCAGGGATCTTATTTTTTTGTATTATTCAAATGATGAAAAACTTCTTCTAAGTAATCCAGATTCAGCAAGATAAATTTTAGAAATTGTTTATTATAAAAAAGATGTTAATAGTAAATCCATATAACCGACAACAGTACATCTATCCCTGACGATCTCACCATGAGGTTTCAAAGTTAAGATATAAAGGGGCTTTGTTCTTATGGAGCTTACATTCCTGAAAGGAAGAAAAAACCTGTGCAGAAAATTACAAGGTGAAACTCTAGGTGCCTCAGGTACAGATAATGTGCTTATAGGAAAAATCACTACTTTGGGGAAAGGGTGCTATGGAAGAATGCTAAGCACAGAAGACACAGGAATCTCCTTGTATATTAGGAAAACAGATGGCAATTTTGAACTTTTATAGTTTTGTCCACCAGTTTAACATGGTTTTCAAGTTCTTCATAATCTAATACTAAATTATAATAAATCATGCCTAATCTCAATGCCAAATGCTATAAGATTTCGTGTAGTGAATTCAGTTTGCACAGCCTGCAACAACCTGTTATTGAAATTCTATTCATCCCTCAGGAACAAGGTCAAATACTCCTCTATGAAGTTTTCCTTGACTCCTTGGTCAACAGTAACATGCAATTGATACCCTACCACATTCTGGCTTTATAATCAGTTGTGGATACACCCACATCTAACCTGTAAATTCCCCAAAAGTAAAAGTTCATGACTTACTGTTGTGCCATTTACAGTTATCTAAAACTATTCTAGGTGAATAGCAGTCAATAAATACTGAATGAGTCCTAGTCTTGGGCTACTAAAGCAGCAGAACCGGTGACTGTCCTACTGCTAGAGGTAGAAATACTTTAAAAAGTAACACAGACACATGCACACATATAAAAATGAATCCTTTCCTATTCTGAATGCCAGGAACCGGCTCTTTCAAGTGTTAGTTTGCATTTGTATCTCCATACAAAAAAGCAATTTGGCAGACCAAGGCAGGATCCAGAAAAAGATGAGCAAAATGATTAAGTAAAAATAAACCTGGGATATATAGTCCAGAAAATATATTAATCCCTACTCTCTCCTCAGGAATGAGAATCCACAGGTACACAGAGGAGTAGTTTACAGTTGTTTGTATGGAAAATAATACAATAATAAATAGCACAAGAACAAACTGTGTTTCGCATACTCACAACTGTCAACCTACTTCTGCCCGCCCCGTATTTCCCATTTTAAAGGTACCCAGGAAGAATGAATGCAGCAAAATTTCAGCAACAGGTAGTTCATTAAAAACAAATTAATAAAAACAAACAAAAATAAAAATGAAACGACTAAGTACTTTATTTAAAAAAATTGGTGTCCTGAGATGAAAAACACATCAAAAAAGATTAAAGATGTTATGATGCATGTTTATGAAGCAGTACATAAAAATACATGAAATATCTTTGTATAACAAAGAAAAAATTTCTTCTTAGAAATGGAGAATGGTTGACAAAAGAAACTATATAGTTGGTGAATATTTCCACACTTTGTTTAACAAATGCTTACCTATGCTCCCAAACATACTTAGTCCAAAGAGTTAGATATATTGCATGGATATATAAATACCAAAAGGATTTTTAAGAAATAGGCCAATGTTAATACTGTATTTGAAGTAACTGGTAATGATAACATTATTTGTTCTTTAAATGTAGTAATTGCTAAAAATAATGAAATTAATGGAATCTCCAATGCCCAGGACAGATTATGTGAATAGTGGAGTAAATACTCTTAAAAAAAACAAAACAAACAAAACAACTATGTAACAAACTTCCAAAACTAAACTGCTTTGCTGTATTTTATTGATATAAATACAACACATTTCATAAGCACAAGCTACCATTTTACCACTACATAAAAGTCAAAATAATTAAATATTGAAAAGTAATTACAGAAATGCTTTCATTTCCACAAATTGTCTCTAATAGCATCTCACATACTTTGTACAATTTGCTTGTAATCGATATGATATTTGAAGTGACACAATGTTGAATTTATTCAAATTTTTATTTCTCAGTGGAAAATGCTCTTTTCATTAGAGGTGGTTGAGCTTTCCCAACATCAAACATCATCTCCAAAGGTGGGTTATTGAGAGAACACCAGTCAGGAATACGACCTGTCTGATTATAATATTCCTTTGAGATGGAACGGCTCCCCAGTATGTCTTGCAGTGCTCCAAAAATAGCTCCTGTGTGGTAAAATATTTTTATAAGATGAAAACTTTTACCAGAAAATTTTAGGTGCTCATATATCCACTTCATTATATGACAAGACAGAACAGGTAAAATTCAAGAATGTATATTGACACTCTTAAATTAATTCCAGTTAGGCTGTTTTTTATCCTGTATTTTAAATAACAGGGTAAGCCATAATCACTGTGTAATGGACTATAATAGATTATAGTGAAAATGATAACAAGTATTACTGTATCTAAAAGCAAGAGAGGCACAGCGGGGTGGAAAGTATTTCCAACTCTGTAAATACAATAAATACCCTTAGTTTTCTTTGCCACCACTCTAAGATTGCATGTTTTTGAATAAAATGGCACTGCAAACCCCCCAAAACATCATAATACCATAAGAATCTATGCTGAAGACCTTATAAAGATCCCCACACAACAGACTTTACAAAGTAATTTAGTAACTAAATCCATTTGTCCTAGATCAAAATTATATTTTGACAAAATTCTACTTTACTAGAGATACAACGACCATTTAAAAATGTCAATACTGCCCTGGCTAGCGTAGCTCAGTGGATTGAGTGTGGGCTGCGAACCAAAGTGTCGCAGGTTCAATTCCCAGTCAGGGAACATGTCTGGGTTGCAGGCCACGGCCCCCAGCAACCACACATTGATGTTTCCCTCTCTCCCTCCCTTCCCTCTCTAAAAAGAAAGAAATAAAATCTTAAAAAAAAATGTCAATACTTTCTCTCAGAAAGATGCTGATACCTCTTAGCTGAAACTGCATCATTAAACATGTATCAGAACATACTCAAATATACATATCCGTGATTGTTTTTCTCTCTCAAGTAGTCTCTTTATTAGGCTATAAACTATTTCCTCCTTTCAATGAAACTATCATTTTCTACGTCACAGAACTCAGTCTCAAAATAAAATTATAAAATAATAAATTTTCATATGGCTGACATATTAGCTTTGTAAGGATTTAAAACATGTTTTAAGAAATGGTAGCATCACTGGAATAAATGAACAGCTATCACTATTATGAAAGATGACCTTAATTGGACAAAGAAGCTTATTTTAAAACATCCAAGTGTAAATGTTGAGAGAAACAGGCATATAATTCTGAAAATTAACAATTTAATAAAAAGTTAATATTCAAAAAATTCTTTAATAGTTCTATTAGTTTATTAAGCGGGCAGATCTGAACACTGAATCATCTACTCTAGTCTACCATTAAATACTATTCAGGAACCAATTAGTATACAATAATTATATTTTAAAAACTAAATTCTTACCTCCCAACCAGGCCACACAATTAGCCTTTGCAGGTGGAGTATGAATACGGAATGTCTTGGTGCCAAGTGTTTTTTTATATTTTGGTTTTTCTACCAAATACCTTATTTCTGCAAGCAATCTGTGGAGAAATCCTGGTAACATAGATGTGCCACCTATGACTACCACGTTCTCTGCTAACTGCTTCCTGGTGTCTATTGGGCACTGTTACCAAAGAGAGAAAAAAAAGGATTTATCCTTAAGAGTATAAATAATGCTTGACTGGACTTAAGAAAACATACAGCTTAAGTATTACAAATTAAATAGGTGATCATTTGTATGACAAAAAGTGGCCACAGCAAGGTTTCTTTAACAAGGGAGTTTTCACGTAGTAAATATGACCACCACAATAATACTGCCATATACTCACAAAGAACTTTAAAAATGTTTAAATTTAATAATACAGAATTTTAAATTCTATAGGGTATACGGTGGCAACATGTGAGTATTCTCATTTTCAGGACAGAATGACTGAATTAAGTAAAGAACATGAGAAGAAATAACTTCTCATTTCTTTTCAGTAAGGAGAGTGTGAAAACTTAATTCTTCTTAGGTACTACCTTCACAGTATTATAGCTAGAGCAGGGCTGTCAAACTCCTTTCCACCAGGGGCCACATAAGCCTTGCGGTTGCCTTCAAAGGGCCAGATGTAACTTTAGGACTGTGTAAATGTAACGAGTCCTTAACTAGGGGCAAGGAGCTCTGCGCTGCTGCCGGACAGAAACAAGGTGCCGGGCCGGATTCAGCCCTGTTTGACACTTGTGATCTGGAGCCAGTCGTTGAGTGGGAAGATAGTATTCTTAGAAATCCCTCCCCACCAGTGCTCTCTAAGAAATAGAAATGTTAAAGTCTTTCATTAATGCTACATTTTTCATTAAAGTTTCTGAGTGGAGCCACAGAGACAGACAGCATCTTCCAAAGTGATGTATTTTCCCATGAAGTTCCGTGACTGCACCGTCATTAAACAAAAGAGACATATTACCATATACCCACAGGAATTTGAAATTCAATACTGTACAAACCAGCATTTGAAGAAACTATAAGCCACATTAGGTACAAAATAAACATCTGCTATTGCTGCTATGGAAAAATGCATCCCTAATTTTGAAATGTGGTAGTAACTGTATCCTAGTGCCAAAGTAAAACTGAACACCATAAAGTGTAACATAAAAACTAAAAAATGTAACCAATAGCTAAAATAAAAATAAAAGAGAACATTTTAAAGTGCTGTAGTCATAAATTTAAATATTTTACAAAATAAAAATACCTGCATGAGGGAATCCAATATTAAAGTGGCAACTGATTTCTCTTCGTTATCTTGTTCAAAAAGAATTTCCACAACTGAATCTCTAATGAGATTAAAAAGAGAGTGCTTTGTTGGTATCGCATAATATGCATAATATACCATTAGTTCTACTGACCTATTTTTAAGTACCAGTACCATTTTACTGTAAAATAATTGTTAAAACACATGTTTGCATTTGTAAACAAGAATAATAGCACCTGCCTTACAACTGTTGAGGTGAGGATTCAATGAGTTAATAGAACAGTACCTGACACATGTATTAGCTATGATTATTATTATGTATAGATTTACATATATTTTGTCCAGATATACTTCCTTAAACTCAGTAACAGAAAAAAAATGAGAATTCTGTAAAAGTTAGTAAGAGTTATCAAGCAGATCAGCAGTGATAGAAGATTTAAAAACAAACATCCTCTGCCCCCAAAGCATTTCTTTGTTTTTAAAAATAATACAAGGCAAACACTGCTAGTTGCCTAATAAAATATCCACTTTCCATTTTTTCCTTCTTGTTCCCAAATTAAAAGAACCCTAACTTGGCGTACTACCAGGAGGACCTTTGCGGCAGTGGAATAGTCACACATCTTGACTGTGGTGATGGTGACTGCAGAAATCTACCTTATGGTAGAATCACAAAGAACTATCTGCATACATTACACCAATGCCAATTTACTGGTCTGATACTATACTACAGCGATGTAAAATATACCTATGGAGAGACACTGGGTAAATACGTGGGTTTTCTCTACTTTATGTTTGTAACTTCCTGTGAATTGTTTGAAAATTAAAAAAAGATAGAACTCTATTTCTCAGGTGAACACAACGCCCTACCCTGTTAGAAACACTCTATCAGCCTCTCTTACAGCTAGACGTCCCCTAGTACCAGACAATAAAATGGAGGCAGACATGGTGTGTGGAACTTCTAGAAAGTCTCCTTAAAAAGAAGGGGAAGTGCCTTTTCCTTTCCCTTCCTACGACTGCTTGCTTTAAACACAGATGTAGCTATAACTTCAGCAACCATACTGGACGCCAAGGAAAAGGGCTACACGCCCAAAACAATAAAAGATGTTGGGTCACTGATGGGAGTCGTCACACCATCCCTGGACTGTCTCCGTCTGACCTTCTCTTAAATGAGAGACCAGCTTCTACCTTGTTGAAGACCCTCTTTTCAAATCTGTGTAACTGGTGGCCCAATGAAATCCTAACCAATGCAATACAAAATTAACCATACATGTGTATATAAAACACTTTAAAAAATTAAATTGGCATCCTACTATGCACACTATTTTAAATCTTTTTCAAAACGTAAAATTCTTTTCATGAGACTTAGCCTACAGTACTGTCTGTGGCTGGTGTGGCACTCCAGCTACAGAGCTGAGTAGCTGCAACAGAGACCATTTGACCCACAAAGCCTAATCTATTTACCATTTGGCCCTTAACAGAAAAAGTCTGCTAAATCCTATTTTAAAGTATCATACTTTATACTCTACCTCAAAGAATGGTTAGTTTCAGTAACTGAATTCTGGATTACTTTGATAAGAATTTTTTTATAGTTTTACAAAGTTGAAAGGCTGAATAATGAATTTATGAATGATGACACTTAATGAAAAACACATAACGAATAATAACACTAAACGTTATATGCAAATATTTTTAAAGGCCAACACTTTATTTTAGTTATTTTTTTGCTCATAGAAATTAAGGTCAAACCTGATTGATCCAAGGACATGTAGAATCTTCTCTCCATCTAATGGGTAGTCAACATTTGGGGGTGGTGAGGGACGCTGAAATATAAATATAAATAATCTAATTATATAAAAAAATGTAAGTAAACCTCTGAAAAAAGAATGTACATTTATTTTGAATTTACCTCAGTATTCCCATCCATATTAAACTTTGCTGCTTGGATTTTCAGTCCACGTTTCAGATCACTTACAAAGCAAGTGCGCACTTGAAAGAAAAGTTCAAGTCTGTTATGGTCTGTGATTTAGTTAATCTATGCTCCGTTTAAAAAATCCTATTCGAGTACACATATTAATTATCCATTGCTTCAAATTTCACAAACTACTCCTGTCTTTAGTTAGCTTATGACAATTTATTCACAAATAAAAAAACCTTTTCATTCATCAAGGAGTCATAGGACATGTTGTGTTCATCTTCCATAAAACCACATTTTTAAAAATACCACCTTTGAGGACACTATTCTGTTTTGATACTATTTTATATAAAGAGTACCATAATAAAAATAAATTTTGACATCATGAAAATGTGTAATAGAATGTTTCTTTGACCAAGATTGATCTATATCTCTATATCTAATCTTATATATCCATCTATCTGATTCTTTGTTTTTTTAAATCTTGGCTGGTCAGAACACAAAGCCAAATTTTACTCCTAGTTACAGTATCACTACTTAGTTTTCGGTTTTTTGGCATGATTGCTTTCTACCTCTTGGTACACTCCAACACTATCACTTTCCTCCTCTTATATCACCATTTTTATTTTTATACTTTAAAACTTCTTCTTTTAAAGATTATTTATACTGCAAAGTACCTTTTATAAAAAGCTGTTTCAAGTTATTTTCAGAAATAAGTAAAGAATAATCCTGTCGAAGTAACTCCGTTGGTTAGAGCACCATCCCTATATGCCAGGCTGTGGGTTCAATCCCTGGTCAGGGTACATACAAGGATCAGCTAGTGATTGCATAAATAAGAGGAATGACAATCAGTATCTGTCTGTCTCTCTCCAAAAATCAGTAATAAGTAAGGAATAAAACAAAGTACAAACAAAATTGATGTTGAGTGCAAAAAAAAAATCTACTGACTAGATTACTTACAAAACATGCTAGTTAAGTCTATATGGACATATGTAAAATAATTTTCATTCACTAATTCAAAATATATTTCAGAATCTGCAATATGCAAACATGCTATATAGTAGGCAAGATGCTCAAGTTACTTATAAACTTTGTATTTTATTCAAGTCCTCAGAACTATCTAAGTAAGGTAATGCCCAGCCTGCAAGATCATATATACTTGGCAGGGAAAGGGGCCTTTCTCTAAAGAAACAAAATTCACTGAATTTAAAAGCCAAGAATAGATGAATTCTACTTAATAAGTTTAAAGTAACTGAAAATTGCCCTGGTTAGTGTAGCTCAGTGGATCGAGTGCTACCTGGCAAACCAAAAAGTCACAGGTTCAATTCCCAATCAGGGCATAAGCCTGGGTTGTGGGCCAGGTTCCCCAGTTGGGGTGCGCAAGGCAACCAATCGATATATGTCTTACACATTGATGTTTCTCTCCTTTTCTTCCTCCCTTCCCCACTCTCTAAAAAGTAAATAAATACAATCTTTAAAAAAATAAAACCACTGAAAATTTAGGTAATTAAATTACATAGGTAACAAATATGAGTGTGAGTGCTGCATGTTTGTTTTAACAGAAATGGGTTCCAACTGTACATGTTATTCAGCAACAGCTTTTTCCCGTAATATGGACAACCTTCCAAATCAATACATCTAGATCCTTTTCAATAGCCACACAGTACTCCTTATTATGAAGTTACCAAATTTCATTCAATGTTCCCCTCTTGGATGGGATGCCCACTTTCAATTTTAATATGCCAGATGGCTCTCCTAAAAGGTTAGTCTTTAATTCTTATTAATAGTAATATATAATTATTTTCCCACAATCTCACAAATACTGGGTGTCTAATTTTCAAGTTTTTACCAATATGTTTCTCAGACAAATGAGAAAATCAAACATTTTATAAATATACACACATATGTTGGAGCACATATAGGAAGAAACACTCCAAATCATTAACAATTGTTACATCATGGGGGATAGGACTGGAAAAAGGAAAGGGAAACTATTAACTTTACTTGAGATATTTCTGGTATTATTTGAGATACTGTAATTAGCATGTACAAATGACTGAAATTTTACCAGAACTGAAGAGATTTTAGGTAATTATACCACAACAGTAAGCAGTCTAATAAACAAGATCCCTTTTGCAGCCCTAGCTCTAACTCTACCTATTGTGTGGCACTAAACAATTCCAAGGCAAATTGTTCCAGATGATCTCCAGATTCCATTTAACTCTAAAATCATTACGGTCTAATTCTTTATAAAATGTTCTAGAATATTAATTTTACATGACACTCTCAGCACTAAAGAACACTGAATTATATTTTAATTCCCTTCCTTTTGGTGAATCAAAATACCAGGAAACTCAATTTAAACATTATCATAAAAATGCACTTTAGCAAAGGAGAGGTAATATACCTTATTAAAATGAATCCAATATACTTTGGCCCCAACTGTAGAATATCTGAAGTCAGTAAAATATCTAACCTTATAAAATATATTTTAAAACTTCAAGTAAAAAACACAACGTGACGTAAAATCAGTAGCTTCTTTTTTTAAGCAATTTAACTGTTATTTCATACTGTGCAAATTACTAATTCCCTAGTAACCCTGAATCCTAAATCTACAATTGAGAAGTTTCTTCAATAACACATCATAAATAATGCCCCAAACTTACATAATATAAATAAAAAATTTTATTTTACATTCCATAGCCTGCATATAAAATATTTTGGGTATTACATAATAAATTTAATATACGAGTATTTTGTATCTGTGCAAATATTTTAAGACACATGCTACCCAAACCAACACTTAAGACGCCAAGGGACAAAAATAACTTAGTTTACCTTTAATGTCCTCTAAGACACCTTCTGGAATTGAACCTTAAAAAAGAAAAATTTTTAAAAACTATAGAACTTTAATAATAAGCAAAAAATAGTCTCTTATATTGCATTCACATTTCCAGTTCAGCAAAAATTTAAAATATATAAGTACTATAATTTTTTTAAAAGCCAAATGATAAAATTAAATTGCTTTTAGGGAAGAAACTTCATCATTCAAAACCAAGCCAACCACAGAGGTTAAAGCCAGATGTATGCTAAGCACTACTGGATGTCACTACTTGTAAGTTTGATGAAAACAAGATACCTTAAAAATGGAGTCAAATAATTGACATTAGATAGAATTACCTTTTCTACCAGAAAAATATTTGTTCATTATCTTGTGGTACTTAGAAGAAATATAAGGCTTAATCATGAGTTATTTTTCTTAAAAAAAAAAAAAAAAAAGTGAAGTCTCAAGTTCGATTATCTTTCCTGTGAATAATCAGTGACTGTCAGTAACATGCTAACCTAATATGTATATTTTTAAAAAGTTCACATGCAGACTTTTACTTTTATCCTTCAAGGTAAAGGTGATATTTTAAAAAACTAGTCAGAAAGTACCTAGTCCAAGAAATTTATACAACACAGGAAGCCTTTGGAAGATGGATGTTTGGAAATGTGATTTTGTTGCCAAAACTCTTGTTTTCCAAATCAGATTCATAAATAAAGTTTTCTAACTTAAATACTAAATCTTCTAAACTCAGAATTTTTAACCCACTATTAAACATGTAAGAATATTCTGACTGATTTATAAAAACAAAGTATTTATATCAAACAAAACAAAAATGTATAGTTGAAAAAAGAAATCGATTTAGTAAGGGTAATCGTGTACTTCTTTCATCTAGATCTACATATCTTGTCAGCTATATTTTTAAGTTCTGACAGCCACTGAAAATAAGTATTAAATCCAATTAAACTTAAAAACCACACCTTTGCCCTGGCGGGGTAGCTCAGTCGGCCAGACCTTTGTGCCAATACCCCAAGGTTGAGGGTTTGATGCCCAGTCAGGGGATCAACCAATGACTACACCAGTAAGTGGAACAACAAATGATGTTGTTGTTCTCTCTCTCTCTCTTAAAAAAACCAATGAATAAAAAATAAATACTATATAATTTAGAATTTAAAAACCATACTTTCATAATGTTAAACCATGAACTTAAAAAATAAACAACCACATTGCAAAATTTTTAGAAGTAATAATGATCACTTTAAAATTATTTTACCTTTATTATCTCACCCTTTCCAAATTCTTACTTTTGTGGTTTTACTATATAGTAATAATAGTGCACATATCATTAATAAATAAACATACATACATATTGAAGGTACACGATCAAAATCTTTTAACTGATGGGGTTAGTATATCAGTTAGGGGTCAGTTTTAAGATTCCTGTTCTTAAGTGTTAAAATTTATCTCACAAGAGGATAAATATTCTCCAAAAGATTTAAATATGGCTATAAATAGATGAAAGAAGTGTAACTAGATTACAAGAATTTACAATTTAAGAAAATTGCTAAAAATGGAAACATTCCACATACTATACTCTCTCTAGGAATACTCAAATAAATTCCAACATGTGCCAAAGACATTTGGTAATATGAAAAAGTTTTCCTAAGGCAACATGTAAGGAAGGCTTAAAAATAAAGGGCTTATTTTAGCTGGGTGTAGAAGCTGCTTCGGAAAGGGGCTCCTTTATCTTACCAAGTTATCATAGCTATTTAAACATCGAAAATGAAGAGTATAAACAAGAGGCACTGATTAGCTCTGAAAAATCATGTTTAATTTTCAGTTAACTTAGGAGAATAAGAAGCATAATATTCTGTATATAATTTACTTTTAAACTGTACACTTTCAAATCAACATAGTTTAGCTTTTTATAAGTTTAAGGTACTTTATATATTCATTCTTTTTTGAACTAGATTCTGAATATTAAACAAAAGAGGCTCATTCAAAGTTCAGGTAAGGAAACTCAAATATGTGTAAGACTTGCATTTAACCTTTACTAAGGATTTCACAAGAGAAATCTTAAATGTATTTGAGTTTCTGATATTCCTAAATGGGTTCTTCACCAAAGAGTGATACATTTGTTTGTTAATTTTTAATTCCTTAATTATTGGGCTGCAAGGCTTACTATCAGAAACACAGATCTGGGGGACTTTGAGAAGGAAAGGTTAGAGTCCAAGACAGTTGCTTAAAGAATAGGTGTCTAAAACCTACAGCTCAGAATTTTAAGAAAATGTTATATGTTTTAAAGAAGACCTCTATTAAGAATATCTTGTGATGTTGCACTAAACTCATGATCTTTGGATACATTTTATAAATTGAATGTCAACACGACATACTAGAAGGGTAGGAAAGTTTATCTAGGATAGAAAAATTATACTCTGATCTATACAATGAAGAATGCTATCATCTTAACTGCCAAAGGAATGGAAAAGAAATATATGCAAAGACAAATGTCCTAAAAACCTGCCTTTCTTTTTCCAACATTTACTCTGTGCCCAGGCACTATATTATGTGCTACAGATTTAAAAATAAGTAAGACAGGAATCCTCAAAGCCTACTAAGGGAAACCAGTAAGCTAACAGGCAAATTAAGAACATGTCATATATGCTAATCAATACTGCTGAGGACTTAACAGATAGGGCTTAACAATTTTTCTGCTTAGGGCAAACAAAGAATGCTTAAAAATTAAGATGACATTCTAGCTGAGTCACGCAGAAAGATAACCCAACTAGGCAAAGAAAACCATCCCAGGTAAAGAAACAGAAAAAATGAAGGCACGGGATTATAGAAGGACTATGGTGCCTGGGTGACATGAAATTTACTGTAGCAAACATAAGGTGCAAAGGGTTGAGTTAAGGCTAAGAGGAAGAATACATTTAGATTGTGAAGAAACGTGTGTATCAAACAGATAATTTGGATTTTAGCCTGTGGGAGCCCACAAAAGTTCTCAGGCAGTGGAGCAACATAATCACAGTTGTTCTGTGCAAGTTCTTCCAAGCAACAGTGTAAACTAGACTGAATCAGTCCAGAGAATAGGCTCCCTTAATAACCCAAGCGAGCAATAGTGAGAGCCTAGTTTACAACATCCAAGTTTTCAGATGTTCAGTGGTGTGGATGGCTGACAAAAAGTTACCCCCCCTCCTAAAAAGAGAGAGAAATATGAAATTTGAGAGATTTCTAAGAGAAAACCAAAAGGACTTGATTAACTCCCAGTTTTCCAAAATGGAAGATAAGAAAGATGTTATCTTTATCCAAAAATGATTCAGTAAAATGAATTTAGAGGCAGAGTTAAATAAAGTGTTCACTTAAGTTTGAGGTGCCAGGAGACATGCCTCATTTATATCCAATAATCTGTAGGAAATATGAAATCAAGTTTAAAAGAAGGGTCAAGCCCAGGGATACATTTGAGAATCAACAGCATTCCTGAAAACCAAGGGAGAAGATAGTATCAAGAGTAAGTTGTAATCAACAATGTCAAAAGTTCTAGAGAAGATGACTAAAATTGAACTACTAGATTCGGTAATGAAAAGCTCAATCATAACCTTATAATTGGAGCAATGTCATCAGAGTGATATGCAGAAAAAGAGAGTAATGGTGAAATGGGATTAAAAATTAGTTGAAAAATGAAAAGGGAATAATGTAAACCGCTCTTAAATAGTTTTAAATGATTTTACCCATAACAGAGGGAAGGCTCTGTTCTTTAGCAGCACCTGTGTCAACAGTACATTGTTCCAATAATTGAGTTTCCAACTCCCTGAAAGTATTAAAAAAAAAGTTACTGGAATTAAAATACTGCAACTGATATCCTTTTCTTATTTAATACATTTACTACATAATTATGTTGTTTTAAGCCAAGTGATAACCTTTTCTTATTTAATATGTTTATTACATAATGTGTTATGATGCTTTAAGTAAAAGCAGTTTTATACTTTAAAGATGAATACACTGAAGATTAATGGAATATGAAATAAATAACATTAAATGTCCACACTATATGTCCCCTATTGAATACTGTCAAAGAATTAGCACTGTTTTTGTGTCACAGGTAAAGAAAATATGCTAAATTCCAAGAAACTTACCTGTGCAGAGCTTTTCCTCCTAGGGGGAGTGCTCCCCAACAATTAAGTACTGGGATTCCTTCATATATCTATAGGGTAGTCAAGGATATTACTATTTTAAGAGATAAAATGTGGTTTCCTTTATATTTTCCTCACCTTCTGCAGTAGTGTTTTAAACTAGATTTTTACTTATTTCTAAAAGTTACAGAAAATCAGTCTTTTTTAATACTCTTCTCCAGAGAAAAAGGTTAAACATGCCTTTTCCATACACACAGGATTCATTAGTTTATGCTAGGGTATCCGATAACATAGCCCCTGGCCAAATATAACTATTCAGTCCTTAAAATGTAGCTAGTTTAATTTCAGATGTGCAGTAAGAATAAACTCTATACAAAATCACCAAATTTAGACTTAATACAAAAAAAGCTGCTGTAAGATATCTCATTATCAATTTTTATACTGATTCTCTTTCATTTATATTTTTAAACAGGTAGAACCTGAACAGACACTTCTCCAAGGAGGATATACAGAGGGCCCAGAGACATACGAAGCATCAGCATCACTAGCCATCGGAGAGATGCAAATTAAAACCACAATGAGATACCACTTCACACTGGTCGGAATGGCCATCATAAAACAATCAACAAACAAGTGCTGGCAAGGTTGTGGAGAAGAAAAGGGAACCCTAGTGCACTGTTGGTGGGAATGTAGACTGGTGCAGCCACTGTGGAAAACAGGATGGAATTTCCTCAAAAAAAAAAACAAAAACAAAAACAAAAAAACCCCCAACAAACAAACAAACAAACAAAAAAACAAAAACAAACTAAAAATGGAACTACCTTTTGATCCAGCAATTCCACTGCTGGGATTATACCCTAAGAATCCTGAAACACCAATTCAAAAGAACCTATACACCCCAATGTTCATAGTAGCATTATTTACAATAGCCAAGTGCCAGAAACAGCTTAAATGCCATCAGTAAATGAGTGGATCAAAAAAACGTGGTGCATTTACACAATGGAATACTATACAGCAGAAAGAAATAAGGAACTCCTACCCTTGACAGCAGCATGGATGGAACTGGAGAGTATTGTGCTAAGTGAAATAAGCCAGGCAGTAAAAGACAAATACCATATGATCTCATCTGTAAGTGGAACCTAATCAACAAAACAAATGAATGAACAAAAAAGAACCAGAGAAATGGAAATAAAGAACAGACAGGAACCAGAGGGGTGGGGTGGGGGTAACGGGGGAAGGAAGGGGAACACGTACAAAGGATCCACGGACAAGGACAATGGGGAGGGGACTGTCTTTGGGAGAGGGGTTGGATGGGGCAGGGGACAGTAACAGGGGTGGGTGGGGTGAGATGAATGGGGACAACTGTAACTGAACAACAATAAAGAAAAGACAGAAGTTCAATCACAGCAACCAAGGTACATTCTTAGGAAGACAGATTTGGAATACAATTCATATAAAAAAAAACTACAATTGTCTTTGTCTCATTCTTAAAAAAAGGTAGCTTAGAAAATTTTAATTACATATGCCTTACATTATATTTCTACCAGACAGCAAAGAGGATAGTGCACAATACTGTACCATGGGTTTGCTACCTTACTTTGTATGTTTTCACCGATGTCGTGTAAACATAAAATTTATAAAAAGGAAAGAAAGGGATACTGGTGAAAGCACTGGCTTTGGCAACAATCATGGGTATATATCTTGGCTTTATGCTTATATAACCTTAACTTAACTACGTATCCAAACTTTCAACCTTCTCATTTATAAAATGAAAATAATACTTAAGTTACAGCATTGTTGTAACACTTACAAACAAAACACTTTATATTTAAAAAGCTACTGCCTAATTTAGTTCCTTAGAAGTTAATGATTCTTGACTTCCTTCCTGTAAGTATTCCTTCTAATAAATATAGATCTCAAAATTGCAAGTCATGTTTATTTGTGTATTTCAACCTCCTTTTCAATGTAGCCATGTCCATTGTTATATTTCTGAGCAACATATACTCTGCTTAAATGCTTCTAATGACAAGGAATTTACCAGTTTATAGTTAGTAATCCCATTGTGTCGTAAGAACCCTGTAACTTAAGTATTATTTTCATTTTATAAATGAGAATATTGAAAGTTTGGATATATAGTTAACTTGTTATACAAGCATAAATCCTAGCTTGAATTACTAGAGATGCTGTGCGTGATATAAAAACCACAGCACTTATTGAGCAAGTTAGTGTGTACCAGCTCCTTTGCTAACACTTTACATACACCACCTCGCTCAAGTCACTCAACACCCTCTCTGCTGGAATTACTGTAATTCCCATTTTATGGATAAGGAAACTGAGGCTCAAAGAAATTAAGTTACTTGAGCAACATCATACTAGTAGGAAGCATAGCTGAGATTTACACTTATATGTATATTTTATCCCAAAACCCAAACTCATAAACCCTATACCATACTGCCACATTGATGGCTTCTCTAGAGAGGACAGAAAAAAACACATCTTCAGCTATGCGAGGATACCATTAAGTTTCAATTTTTCTTGATTTAACTTTCTCGTTTTAAGTTTCTTCAATTACTCGCTGTATGATCTTTTCCTAGAAGTTGACCATCCTAATCAACTTCTCGACATGTCCAATTAGCTGATGTTCCTCTTAACAACTGAACATAAAATTCATGAGGTCTAATCCCTGGAGTATATACTGGGACCAAGTCATAATAATAATTTCTACAAAAAGTAAATTTAAGCCTCACAATCTGGAGAATTTTTTCCACATTGTAATTCATATTTGTACATGGTAACCCAAAATAGTTTGATGCAATAAAACCCATTTGTAATAAGCCCAATTATTTTAAAATAGAGTAAAAACTGCAAAATTAGCTGGCTGACAAAAAAAGATACAGGCAACACCAGGCTTTCCCTATATCCGCAATCCAGGACCATGGCAGAGTTTATCCCAAGTGTCAGAAGTGCCATTAGATGGCTTGGAGCAAGCAAGACAGATGGAACCTAGAAAACCAAAACAGCAGAATGAGCCAGCAGTTGAAAGGGTTTGCCTTACATTTCAAATATATTTGAAAAAATTCCCAGGAATGTTATATTAATTTATATTATGATACCTATTCATCAATTTTATGGCACTAAATTAACAACTAGTTTGTTGATTTATTTGAATTTATAGGTAATCAAAATGTATTGAAGTCAAAACATTCTAAATTCTCTAAGTTGTTTTGTTCCAAAATAAAGCATTAAAAAAAATATTGTTCTCTTTCTCAGAGGAAAAATTGAAGGAGCTAAAAGAAGAGGTCTAGAAACATAAAATCAAAAGAAAATGCTACATTTAAAAAATAAAAAGATGCCTTTGCCATCAAAATGAAAATATACAAAAAGAGTTCTTGATTGTCTTTTTTTCACATAGTGTAATATAAACTGTATTTTTAAAAAATTGTAATATAGCAGTTAGAATTAAATTCAAGAACTACAAAAATCCTTAGTTCTCTGTAACATTTTTCAGTGAGAATTTGCCAGATCTGGTGACACTCCAAATATCAGATATTCAATCAAAATATGAAAGTCCATTAGAACCAAATGACAAACAACATAATGGCTATATTTCCCTCATCTAACTAGATATAGCAGGTGCTCTAGTCATAGACAAGGATACACAAACACAACTAAAAATCTAAGTATAAACACAGAGAATTGTGTATTTTATTCCGGTAAGAGCTTAAGTGACTTCTTGTCTTGTCTGTGTTCTCCCTACTGCAAACCAAATTCCTAAATCTGTACCATCAGTAAGTACAAGAAGCAGGAATCTGCTTCCGCCTTAATAAACTACAAGTTAGATATATTAATTGCCCTTATCTCCTAAAGACATGAGTTTTGATATATTTTGAGTTCAGTAGAATGTATAAAAAATACATTTATGTATTTATATGTGCTTAATTTCTGATATGCTGTATACATTATACAATCTTCTAGTTTCCCTTGCTGAAAAATCATCAATTCCTAAGGCAGAGATTAAAAAAAATTTTAATAATAAAGATTAGCCATCTGATCTTTGCTTAGAGTAGGAAACTTAATCATCTTAAATCATAATTTTGCTCTTTAAAATAATTTTGACTCCTATAAAAGTTACAAGAAAAATTACTAATATTAAGACATAAGAGTCATTCCTGGCACTGCCTGCCTAGTCTAAGGGAAACAATACTTAAATATTCCATTTAATAGGAATTTAAAGCCTAAAATGAAAGAATTGAAGAATTTAGAGTACTCGACATAACAGAAACTAGAAAGACCTGGAAGAAACACCTCATAATCTCCACAGTACATACTAAACCTTTTAATTTTGAAAGGAAAAAAAAAGTCCCCAAACAAAAAAACCTATATTAAAATAACTAACAGAAACATCAGTAAGAAGAAATCTTCATCTATCTAAGCGGTGGATGAAATGCTAACAATGCATGAAATAACTATATAAAGAAAGAAAATAAACAGTCAATTTCAGGAGGCTTCAGTTTCCTCTGTCATCTGGTTCCTCAAATCACTGTGTAGTATATACAATGAAGAAGAGAAATGAGGACCTTTAGTTTAAGCTTGGAGTACCCACCAGAAACAACATATAAAACAGGTACCTCGAAAGACTTGAAAAGGACACGAGTGAGTGTCTCTCTGAAGTGGGAAGGACATAGCACCGACTCAATAACCACAACTCGGCGGTCTCTGGGATTTACCAACAGATGCCTGAAAAGTGATAGTTTTGTTTTTAAAAGTAGATAAAAGTTTTTATTCATTTTGGTACATATTCCAATTTGTTAAGAATAGAGAAAGTATACCACATTAGCTCTTAACTTGCTCTATGACAAAGAGATATCTTCATTTCACTACCCAGGAAAGATGACAACATTCCTGACCTCTTACTACATTTCATGCACTGTGTCAGGAACTTCATTCACATCCATTAATTTATCCCAGAAAACAAAAACAGCCTACTATGAATAACTTGAGCCATTAACAAGGCAGTTTTTTAAATTTAGGTTACAAAACCAAGAAAAAGTATATGCATAAAACTCCAAATATAAGGTAAGTTTATAATTTGGAAAATATAAATACCTTACCCTTCTATTACCCAGAAATGGCCATTGATAGCATTTTGTATATTTTTATATTGTGTATGTACATGCATATATTTTAACAGAAATATTCATTCCATAGCTGCTGTTCTGCAACTTGCTTTTTCCAATCATCATCAATACATCTAAGACACCTTTATGTATTGGTACATATAAAGAACCCCTTTTTAATGTTGTCTGTTTCATTATAAGGGTATACAATAATTTAATTATCCACCCCCCTTTATTAAAGGGCACTTGATTTGTTTCCAACATTTCCTTATGCTTGGCCATTTTCTAGTATTCAAATATACTTGGAAAAGATTGAAAATAGGCAAGTAAAAATGGTAATAGAAGTCAACCTTTTTTTCCCCCCATCAGATATAACACAACTAAATTTCACTAAGAGTGGCATTAGGAAAACCTAATCACAAAAACTGGGGAAAAAAACAAACAGCATTGCATCCTACCTGAAATACAGTATGTGGATAAACTCCTTTAGGTAGGAATATAATTCTTCTGTATTGATATTATATTGAACAACTTTGATAGGCTATAAAAAATTAAAATGACATTGATTTATATTAATAAAATAATCTCAAGTTGAAACATGCTTATTTATGATTCTGATAATAAATCAAAAGCAATTTATATTGAGAATAAATACAAACATTAAATGTAGATTAATCACTTACATCAGAAATCCTTAAGAACTGGCATGTCCAAAATGATGGGCCTTTTTTGCTTGTGGGCTATGAATGTGTGCGCCCATAAGTAATTAAAGAACTATGTTCATTTGCATTTGTCCGCCATCATATTTATCATTTTGGCAGGAACAATAAAAATAGCATCAATTAAAAAGCATCAAAAGCCACAGACTTGGCCCAGTCCCTGTTGGTCATCCCCAAAACACTTGTGCTTTCCCCCTTGTACCATCAGCTCCACTTCATCACGTATAAAATGTCTTCTTTCCTGTTAGCTACAAGCTCCACAGGGCAAAGACTGTTTTTGGCTTACTTTTGACACATTCCCCTTAACTGATACAGTACAAAGCATAAACTACATACCTAGTAAATATGTGTCATAAAAAGGAAAACACACATCTTTAGCACTAAAGCAGTATGTGCAAACACTACCAAACCATGAGTGCTAAATCAACACAAATACCTGACAAGGTTTCACTGAGAATCGTTAGAAAGCTTTAAGTACTCTGATCCGTCATTGTCAGACCTTTCTTCATTTACTCTTTTAAAGGAAAGACCATCAGCTCAGCTAGTGTCCTGATTTTATGAGGATTAAAAAGTTTCTGAATCATATATAGCTGAACATAGAGTAATCTTCACAAATATTTGTCTTTTCAAGAAGAAGAGCTGAAAGCACTAAGAAAAGTGCCAAGGAGAATGTAGAAGTTCAGAGTCCAGTTAGGACTGTACCTAGTAACCTATCTGATAACAAAATAACATCAATTATTATATAACAACATGAAAAATGAATAGGCAGGAGCTTTCATCGTATTTGATACCACACCACAAATATGTGCTATATTGTTGGCTTATCTAAGAATCTGCAGAAAATTCTGAAATCAATAGAAAAGATTTCTTACAAGCATAATTAAAAAGATTTCTGATTCCATGTTAATCTTAATGATGCATCCCTAATACCAAATATAAAATGATGTACTAGTCTCTTCTGCTACACATGCTTTTATAGAACCAAAATGCTCATATTCAATTGTTAAATAAGGGAATATTATCTGTATTAATGTGATTTTTATATTAGTTCATATTAGGCAAGTGGAACGAAAAATATGGTAACAGTTATTATCTTCATCAAGAAAAATCAAGTCATCAATGTGTGGTCACACAGGTACATATCCTTTCAGATTTATTTTTACAAGTCTGCATGGTCCTCTGTACCAGGCCCCCTTCCCAGAAGGGCCTTCTCACGACTCTTTGTGGGCTGCACTTACTTTTGGTCCCATCTGAACAACAGCCCCACTGGCCAGCCTACAGCTCACTTCCATCTGCACTGTCTCAGCACCCAGTGACCAATCTATTATTTTTGTATGTTTAATATCCCCAAGAAATGCTCCAGCCACATTCAGTTGCAAGCCAAAGCTGTTCTGAGAGATCAATTGTTTTTGTTAGTGCTTTGTTTACAAAGTTACATGGGTTTTATATGGTCTATTCCAACCCTATTTTTTCCATTAAGCCCATGTTTGTTTGTGATTTTTTAAAACAGACTTTATTTTCAGAGAGAGAGGGAAGGGAAGGAGAGAAGAAGAGAAACGAGATACACAGACTGGTTGCCTTTCACATACCCCCTATTGGGGACCTGACTGGCAACCCAGGTATGTGCCCAGAAAGGGAACTGAACCAGCAAGCTTTCAGTTCGAAGGCCAGCACTCGATCCACTGAAACACATCGGCCAGGGCTATTTGTAATTTTAATAGGTGAATTTTATGGCACCGAAAATTATTCTTTCTATTGTTATACAATTCCTCACTTGTCAAATCAGCTTTGGCAAGAAACCGTCTTTTTAAAAATTGTTTTTCATTGTTCTTTGGATCTTGGAAGTAAAGATAAAGGACTGAAGACCTGACATATTAAGAATAAAGTTATTCTATAATTATGTTACATTATAAGGCTCAAAAAATTATTTTACAAGGTTAAAAGCTCTCTCTTGGTATCTCATAATTCTATCTATATAAAATGTACAGAAAAGGCCAATCTTTGAGACAGGAAGACTATGAGTGGCGGGCTGGCACAGGGAATGGGAATAAACTGTAAACAGGCATTAGAGATCTTATTGGGGTGACAAAAAGTTCTAAAACTGGATTGTGGTGATGGTTATGGAACTTAATATATTTACTAAAAATCATTGAATTGTACACTTAAATACGTGAATTTTATGGTATGCAAAATTAAACTAAATGAAGATTAAAAATTTTTTTCTTGGAATACAGTCATAAGGTATTTAATATAGTTAACACTATTCTACGCAATCTTATATTCAGTCACATTTTAAAATACAGTACAGTATTTATTACTAATTTGTTTTTAAAAATACCTTAGGCATGCCAGCTTTTTTAATCACACTAGGAATTATGCATCTTGGACTGGTTTCTCCAGCAAATCCACATCTGCAAATATAAAATTGAAACACTTAAAGTCTTTTATTTGTCATAGAAACAAGTTTTTCTGTATTTATTTAAAAGCAGCAGACATAAACACATCTGAAAACATCTCTTGATGCATTCAAAGAGACAAAAAGACCTAAAAAATGTTAATTCCATCTATTTATAACTACATTAAAGGTTAAAAAGTTTCAAATTAGCAACCTTGACATATGTCAGTTTTTTTAAAATTTACTGATTTTAGAGAGAGGGAAGGATAGAGGGAGAAAGAGAAGTGCTGATTTGTTGTTCCACTTACTTATGTGTTCACTGGCTGCTTCTTGCACGTGTCCTGATGGGAGAGCCAACCTGCAACCTTGGTGTATACGGATGATGGTCTAACCAACTGAACTACTCGGTCAGTGCTCTGTCAGTTTGTAGGACAGCATCTATTTGTTTTTAATTTTATATAACACATGTCTACAACCCTGGATCTGTACTGTAACTTCATTCATATGAGGTACTTGTGGTCCATCATTCTAATATTATTAGCTTCTACACTGACAGGTTTGCTTTTGGTCTATTTTGAAAACTATGAATACCTGACATAGTTATAATCACACTATTCACCCACCATAAGCTCATATAATAAGCTTCTGCCTATTTTTAATCTTTTTCATTATCATTTTTAAAGTGCATAATATTTCATTTTAAAAAACTATTTTTGAGTATTTAGGTATTTCCACTTAAACTTCAAAATGTTGCTTAAAAATCACCATTTAAATTTAGTCTGAAAATTATCTCTTCTTGTTTTCTGTACTGCTCTATTTATTTCAGAATAGCTCTTCACATCTTCTACTAATCTCCATCTCCACCAATACTCCTTAAATTTCCAGGTGCAACTCACTGGTTGGCTTCAGGTTCCTTTCTTTTACTTCATAAATTCATTTTATCAACCTCCTGTTGTCTTTGTCAATAGTCACCTTCCTGCATAGCAGCGTTCTGTTTCTCAGTTCCTCAACATATAGTCAAAGTAATTATCTTTCAGTATCAGCCTCAGGGTATTTATTACGCTAGAAATAAACCTTTAAAAATAAACTTAAAAATATAAATAAGGGAAGATTTACACTGAACAGTAAGAGAATGGACTGTTTAATCCAAGGACAGTTTAATCCAGTCCTGGTACACCTGAGGTCCAAATCTTAGGTAGGCTTTTTTAGACGCTTATTCAACAAAGTTATTATATACCTACTATATATTAGGCATTATTTAGATTTTATATAAGGATTCTCAAATGTTTCCATTTCAAATATATACAAAATGCAATTCTGGCTGTCACTCTCCTCTCTCGAGACCAGTTACAAGACTCTCAACCTGCAGTCCAAAGACACTGTGATACTCGCCAATCCCTTAAACTCGGTGCAGATACATTAAGGTTTGTGTACCTGTGGCTTTCATTCCGTCGTCAAAGGATCTATGCCATCCAAAAGGTTGAGAACCACTACTCCAGTGTTTACAAGGTGCCTTTTAAAACATTCATTTTCCTAATCTAAGAGTTTTTTTTTAGGGGGCACAATCTAGAGTCTCATCTATAGGGTATATCATCTCTTTGATGTGTTCAGTCTCCCCGATTTGATTTCTTACTCTTGAACATAGTTGGATTTCAGCACCAACAGAAGCTCCACTCAGTGTTTAATGATACTAGCTTCCTAAGCTCACAAGCCCAGGGTAAGCGGGGTCTAGGTCTGCACAGCTATCCTCGCGTGGGTTACTCCAACGGGTCTGTTCGGTTTCGGGTAATAACGGGGAGCGTCGGCGAAGGTAATTCTTGAGAAGCCTCTTGGGCCTCTTTACCTCCCCACCGGATCCCAGGTATTCCCATCGCCCAAGGTGCAGACAATAAGGACCACCCTTTGCGGAGAGGCTGGGCGGCGGGAGAGTAAGGTGGTGGCGTTCAGACATCGCAACTTGCCCTGTGAGCCAGAAATGAGGATGCCGGCCAGACCAGGGTTTCAGCCATTCACCCTCCCCCGCCCCCGCCCCCCCGCCTCAGACACCGCAGCCTGCGCCGCGGCCACTCACTTGGTAAAGGCCTCTCCCAGGTCTATCACGACCGCCGTTTTCTCCCCGCCGCTCCCCAGGCCCTCGTACAGCGGCATGGTGGTAAAGAAGATCTTAAGTAGCCAGACGCCGAATCAGGTCCCTACAAACTTCGGGACTCAGGGGGCGCGGCCGGCCGGGGCAACGGCAAGCGAACAGCGGCGGCGGCGGGGGCCTCGCGGGGCCGCGGCGCAGGCTCCGGGCTGTCTCAGGCTGTGCCTCACTCCGCGTCGGACCCAGATCCTCGCAGGCGACCCGGTCTGTGGGACTAGAGAGGAAGAAATGCGCGTTCCGCCGCTGATCTGGGTGCGTGGGGCGCGGGACACGAGGTGAGCAGAGGCGATCAGGCGCACTGGCCGCCCCGAGTGGGGCGGAGGCACCCGGGTCCTTCCCGCTGGACACGCCCCGAGGTGGCCCTAGGTTGGAAGCTTCTTTTGCGTGTTTGTACTAGATGTCGTATCTTCGCTCGTTAGAGAAAAAGCTGAAAAAGCTGAAGGAGAGAGGGCAAAAGCTCAAAAACTTTGACTCATGCTGCCTTGGGACAAGATTTGCTGTGTCCATTGTTTTACCTACAACTTAATCTTCTCAAAACATGCGGAGAATTGGTGTTCTCACCTGTGCGAACCGAAACTCAGGGATTAAGTTACGTTGCAGAGCTAGGATTGAACGCCAAGATTTTTTTTATTTCAAAGTCTGTTCTGTACTACTGATGCTTTAGAGAATAATACGTATGGACGACTACTTATTTGATAGTCATCCCGCTGAAAGTTTTCATTTTAATCCAAAAGAAAGCAGTTAAAATAGCATCCACGAGTCTTGATCTACGGAGAAACAGTAATTTAACGGAAGGAATATTGAAGCAAGGGTTCCTGTTTACTCGAAAACTGAGGAGCTGTGTAACCCGAAACAAGTTAACTTCCTATTCCAGTGTGCGCACCCCATAGGAATTCTATAATGTAGGTTGTTTACAACTTTATCATTTCACAGCTCTTTTTTTCCGCCTCCTGAAATTGCCATGGAAACGAGTTATTGGGAGGGGTTGATTGCCTTGTCTGTAAGACTATAGAAAAAGGAATGACCTGTTTTCCTCAGTGTGTCTTTCTTACCTGCTGTAGATGCTTGAACCTCCCTACAAGGGTGGGATCTTAACACAATAAGGTTGTGTTAAGGTTGTACAATGTACACGTGTGATCAATATAATGTTCGCAAAATGCACTCATCAATGATCTTACTGAAGCAAGTTTCCTGAAGTAAGAGGATGAAGTTGGAGTTATGATGGGGAAGGAAACTTCAGAAGGAGTTGAGAAAGGATGAAGCACTTTGCTTAATAAAGTCAGTGTTTGAACAGGATCCTTAACTTGGGTTCAAACTCTGTTTCTGCCACCTTCTGGCAAGTTTCTAATATTTCTTTACATCCATTTTCTTATCTGTAAACTGTCCTGCTACTTTAGGTATTTGTGAGGATCAACTGAGATTATATTTATGAAATTATTATTATTACCCATCCTGTCTGCTCACCATCTGTATTTGTTTTCCAGGGATGCCATAACAAAGTAACAAACTGGGTGGCTAAAAACAAATTTGTTCTCTTACAGTTCTGAAGGCCAGGAGCTCTAGATTAAGGACGGCCATGCAAGGCCATGCTGTCTCTGGAGGCTCTAGAGGAGGACCCTTCCATGCCTCTTTCTAGCTGCTGCTGATTGACTGCAGTCCTTGATGTTCCCAAGCTTGTAGATGCATTACTCCAGTCTGTGTCATCATAATCACCTGGCCTTCTTCTCGTATCTCTGTGCCTTCATATGATGTTTCTTCCCTGTGTTTTCACATTATTTTCCTTCTGTGCAACTTTGTGTCTAGATTTCCCTGTTGTAAGAATATCAGTCAGTCCTGGCTGGTGTGGCTCAGTGGATTGAGCAGTGGACTGTGAACCAAAGGGTTGCTGGTTCGATTCCCAGTCTAGGGCACATGCCTGCATTGCGGGCCAGGTCTCCAGTAGGGGGCATTCAGGAGGCAGCCACACATTGATGCTTCTCTCCCTCTCTTTCTCCCTCCCTTCCCCTCTCTAAAAATAAATAAAATCTTTAAAATAAAAGCCCTTTTAAAAAAATAATATCAGTCATTAGGTTAGGGTCCTAATCTTAACCTACTATAATGTTATCTTAATTGGATTATATTTGCAAAGACCCTTAACTCCAAATAAGCTCACATTTTAAGGTTCTCAGTGGACAAGAATTTGGGGGGAATACTATTCAACCCAGCACACCACTTAAATGTTAGTATTCTCCATGGTTCTGCCCTTAGATCTCCTCTCACTGTATACCTTCTCCTTCGACAGTCTCTTCCACTACCATACAGATAGCTAGAGCTAATATTTGAGTTCTATTTGCAAGCTACATTTGCTGTATATAATCTTATTTATTCCTCATCATAACTTTATGATTTCAGTATTATTATCTCCACTTCACAAATGAGGATACTGAGGCCAAGAGAGGTTAAACAGGCCTTCTAGCTGGTAAGTGGCACAGCAGGAATTTGAACCCACAGAATCTGACTTGAGCCAAAACTACACTGCATAATTATAAAGTAATTGTACCTTAACCCAGATTAAGTTTACATTATCATGGAATTTTCAGTCTTAGTATATGAAGTGACATAAGAGGTTTTCAAGTCTATAAACTCCAAGCTAAAACAAGACTTTCCTCTCTACCTCTGATGAGAGTTGTCTCCCAAACATTTCCCATGATGAACAGAGGGCTCATGGACTAGTTGGGATCTACAATATACTGAAAATGCATTTGCAAACACAATTGGTTTTTTTTTTTAAGAAAAAAAATGCTGTAAGAATAAGAATCATCTTAAAAAGTTCGACCTTCTGGCAGCTTGGTGTAACTGACCTGAGCTTACCTCCTAACTCACTTAGCTGACTGATTTCAGGCAACTTAATTAAACTCTGGGCTTCAGTTTCTTTTTTGGTTAAATGAGGAAAATGCTCGAACACTAATAATATAAACTAGGTTGAATTGGAGTCTGCATTTATTTAGCTAACACCTCTTATTCTTCCCCCACTCTCCCTACTTTTTTACCCTCCAAGATAGGCATTTCTGTTCTTTTAACTGTTTCTCATTTTCATAGTTTTCAGGCCACTTATGAGCCCATTTACCCACTTCTAGAATTTCTCTGTTTTGTTAGTGTGCCCCATAAATTACGCAACACCCATGATACGTTGGAAGAACTTATACTATGACAGGGCTCAACTCTTGCTTCAGCTGCTATGCTTTATTAATACGTAGCGGTGGGTTTCTTTGTTTTATCTTCTGTCATATTATGTTATTGATTCAGTTGTCTCTCACTTTGCAAATGAAAACCTAATGTGTACCTAAATTTGGAGGTTTATAGCTCTTTCTGTTAAACTTAGTCTGGCTAGTTCTGGTCCATCTTTCCAGCCTTTTCATATCATTAAAAAAAAATCCAAGTCTTTTTGAATCAAGAGTCTGGCATTAAACATATTAAATATAGTGCCACCTACATGTTTGAGAGGCATGCTTTCAAAGTTTCCATTCTTGTAATAAATACATTTTGTGGCCCTATTATATGCTGGGCCCAGAAACTAAAGAGAAAAGGAAAAATGGTCTCTGTTTTCAGACCATACTGGGGAGACACATATAAAGTAATAACTACCATACTGGAAACATATGAAAAGTATTTAAGGGGCCAGAGGAAGGGACTGATCACCTGCCAAGGGGAATAGTCAGGGCAGCTTCAGGGAGGTATTCATTTGCCCATTCTTGAGTTCAAAAGGTGCTCTGCTAGACACTGGAAGCACAAATATGAAGCAAAATTACTAGCCTTGGGATCTTACAGTCACGTTTATAGACAAGTAAGCAAACTTTTAAAGCTAGTGATAAAGTGACGCTTGGATGAACATGGTGCTCTAAAGGCAGAGACCAGGGTGCAACTTGAAATTTTTCCAGGGGAGATGGGAATGGGAACACATAACAAAGGACACATGAACTCTGTCTAGAAGATTGGTGCCCATTTTCCAATGCAGAGCTACAGAGGGCATTCCACTGTGAGACAGGCAAGAAATAGGTTAAGACTAGAAAAGGGTGGTAAGATGCTGTCATTTAGCAAGAAATGAAGGCTCCAATCACCAAACTCCTTGGTATGCTAGGGAGTTTGGATTTTATCCTATAATTATTAGTCACCATTCGAAACATGTTAAATAAGGGAAAGGCAATGTCATATTTGTGTTCAGTTTGATCAGTTTGTGTTCGGCACTTTTGAAGTGGGATCGACTAGCATGAAATGGTGGGGCCTGAGACAGGCAGTGAGAAGCCAATTTGCAAGCTATTGCAAGAGTCCATAAGAGAAATGATGGCCATTAATTAGGGAATAATAATGTATGTGTGACATTATCTTTAAATGTTATCCAAATGGGAAAAGACATAATTTTGTAATTGAAAACAAAATCTCAATAAGGCATTGATCACAGTTTAGAGCTCTTTTCTCAAGTACTATGTTAGGAAAATATCTAATATCCTGATTTAATTAACTAAAGTTACATGGTCACAGGGGCTTTATAGTTCCAATTATATCAGTGCCTCTTAATTAACCCTTTCTAAAGTACAAGATTTAATCAGAATTGCAGCTTTCATGATGTAGTTTTATTTTTCAACTTCTTTTTCTTCTGCTTCTGCAAGTTTTGCTGCCAAAATGAAGATAATAACTAGCCCTTGAACCCATGTTGGTAAACTGTTCATCTTTACTCATCAAAGGCCTCCACAAAAGCTAACAATCACTTACTGTCTTCAGGAATAACTCACCTTTAACTTGGAGATCAATGTTGGGTCCGAGTGGCTCGGAAGGTAACCTAATCTTAGACTTCTTGAATGGGCTCACTATAAAAGCTTTCCAGTGTTTGATTGATGAAGAGTTTTCATCACACCAATGACTTAAGTAGTTGCATTTATAACCAGAAATCTCAATGTCTCCTAGGTCCCTCTCATTGTCCTAGTCAGCTGCAAAGAGGTATAGGGTGTTTTGTATAGACTGTATCTTATCCATTGCTACTCTGCAATCAGGATTATGGCACCAGCTGCTTAATTGGTCTCTCTGTTCTCTCCACAGTCTATTATCTTACTGCAGGCAGAGAGAGTTCTCTAAAATGCAAATACAATCGTGACACTCTGCTTAAGATCTTTCAATGGCATGCTTCAGGTTTCAGATAAAGCGGCAATTACAGCAACCCAGCAGTAGTTCCCCAAACTACTAGTTCGCCAGTAGTATCCTGCTGCCTCACACCTCCCTTACTGTGCCTAGAATGCCTTATTTAGAA